AGTATTTTCAACTAAAACATTTTCATCGTGTGGCTAGTGTTTTTGGAGCTCCCCTGGGGCAGAGTTGCTCATTCAGAAAACAAACTTTAGTCAGTCGGTCTCCAATTATACCATCTAACAATAAAGTGTGTGCCAGTGTTAGACCCTAAATTAACCTGGTGAGTTCCTGGGATTCTGGGAGTTGTAGTTCTTGGAAAGCAACAACAAAGCCTCATGAGAAAGTATGGTGGCCTATGGGTTTTGTATATAGGTCCTACCAACATGTGTCTTGAGGCCACACACCTGCAAAGTTTCCAGGTGGTGGTTCTGACCAAGTTCCATCTCGGCCAGTATTCAAAATTTTAGTAAAAACTTGCTTAAATGTGGCCAAAATGGTGGAAGTGGTTTTTTCCTCTGGCAAACTTCAGAATTAACTCCAGAGCCTGAGTATTTTACATCAGCTAGCTTCTTCATGTTGAAGCTAAATAAAATTGAAACACCTTTTCCAAATGGCTTGAATCACTGAAGCCAACAGTGAGTAACATCTTGTTCTTGTAAACAAGGAACCAGGGTGGATTCTGGAGGACTTCTCAGGGTTGAGAAAGATTGGGGTCTAGATGGGCAGTTAGAACATTTACGTAGCATGTGTAAGGCCCTGTAGTCAACCCCAGGACTAGATGGGGAAAAGGATAAGATATGGTAAGAGGGAGATAGAAGGGAGGGGGAGAGAAAGGGGTGAAAAGAGAAAGGGGGAGGGAGGAACGAGAGCACAGGCAGGCCCCAGCCCAGGGTGTCTACTCCCATTTGCAGCAGCCTGAGGTAGGTCATCAGCAAGTCAGGGTAACAACAATAATGTACTCTGTTACCCTATTAAAGGTCGTCACTCTAGAATTCCTCAGGTTATTAATCATGGCTAAGTAAGTGCCCAAAACCTCAGCAAGAATCCAGAGGCCTAGTTTGTACAAGGCCCTAGACACAGCTGAGTGTTGGAACTATCAGTATCTCCAGTACTAAGTAGGCTGGGGAGTAGAGATCTCTATGAGTGAGAAGCTAGCCTGAGTTACATAGGCAGGCCTACCCTCAGACGGTAAATAAAAAGAATTACAGAGGATGAACTCCAAATCTGCAGAACAGAGCTAGTAAGTATCCTCAGTGGGATGCAAGCTCTGGTCTGCCAGAAGAGAATGTGCCCTGGGGTTAAGTGCATGCCTTCCTAAGGAATGCATTTCCACTGGACTGCGGCAAACATTCCTTCACCATCTAAGGAATGAAAATCCATCATCAGGAGCACTCAACCCTTGCCCATCTCCTCCATGCCCTCCCCTCCTCCACACAAAGTAGCCAGCTTAATGGCATAAAGATATGAGAAGGGTGTGGTGAAGTTGGAAAACAGGAGCCCAGAGCCCGTCTCCACCCCAGGCTGAGTAAACATCAGCCTGGAGGCGGCTTGGAAGTTATCTCCCATGAGGCCATGCACCTGCCTTTCATCTTCTCAGACACATAGTCTTCACCTTTCAAAATAATCATCTATGCAGCAGTAGCTCAGGTGGACCCTCTGTCAAAGACATAAAACAGCCATCAGTTGACATCTGAAAGCCACTGTGTTTCTCCTCAGTGGACAGCCTCATTTCTGGGACTCAAGGAAAGCCCTCACCTGATAGAAAATGCCCACCAAGCTGCATATCACCTTAGAATACAATTTCTCTGCACAAAAAGACACAGCGAAACCTTGGCAGTGGTTCTGGTGAGTAATAAGCAAAGACTATTGTTACAGACTGAAAACTTCTTTTTTAAAAAGCTTTTCAAATCCATGCCCCACCTGATGCAGTTCCGCTGAGATGGGGACTAGCCAGCCTGGGTCCTCAATGTCCTAGCTGGTGGGAAGACAGTCATGTGCCCACCCAGCACCGCATGGCGCCAGGCAGGTGGCCTCATTATAAGCAAATGCGTGGTGGAGAAATGGGGGGGTGGGTGGTTCATTCGCTGTGGAGAGACACAGAAAGGAAGAAATGAAGGTGAGGAGTGGGCAGGTTTGGAAGCCCGCTTGCCACGGGGGGCCATGGTGAATGTGGTGAATAGACTTGAGCAGGGAGGCCTGCTTGACACCCAGAGCCATGTTGATGTACAGGCCCAGCTGCTACCAAGGACCATGTCTGGGTCCCTGGTCCTACCAGGGTCTGTGTTGATGTCCATGGCTCCTGCTGCCACCAAGTGCCATGCTGATTCCAGTGGTCTGGGCCACCTCCTGGGGTCCTGTTTGGGTTCAGGGGCCACACCACCACTGCATCCATGCCAATATGGGACACCTTCACTGACACCTGGAGCTATGGTGACAACCAGACCCAAGCTGCTGCCAAGGACCATGTCTGGGTCCATGGTCCTACCATAGCCAGGTTGATGGCTATGTCCATCCCATGTTGTCATCAAAGGCCACATGAAGCCTGGGATCTGGGCCACAACGTGTGGCCTTGATGGTGTCTAGGAGCCACGCAGCTGCCACAGCCATCCTGACCTTTGTGGCCAGGGCTACCACCTAGAGCTAGAATGTCAACCAGACTGAGCTGCTTCCTTAGACCATGTCTGGGTCCATGGCCCAGTTGTAGCTGGGATCTGTGCTGAAGTCTGGTGGTCCCCGTTGCCCCCTAGGACCCACACAGAGGCCCAGGATCTGGGCCTGAGCCTATATCTTGGTTTGAGTCTGTGGCCTTGCCACAACAGGGGCCATACAGATATAGGTGGCCTGTACTGCCACCTGAGCCCAGGCTTCTGCCGAGGACCATGTCTGACTGAGTCCGTGGCCCTTTAGCGCTAGAGTCCAGATTGACTGATGTGACTCTCGTTGCCATGAGGATGCCCAAGGTCAGATCAGTCACCTGAGTCCAGGTTGGTGTCTGAGGGACATAATGCAAGCAGCTCTTAATGGCCTGCACTGCTACTAAATGTCATGGTGACGTCTGAGCCGGAGCTGTAGCTGAGGTCCATGTCAGAGTCTGTGGCCCTACTACAGCCAGGGTCTGTGATGTTCAAGGTTCCTGTTACCATGGAAGCCACGTTGGTGTCTGAGGGTCATACTGCTTCTGGGACCTGTGCTGACCTGAGTGGCCTGCACTGCCACCTGGGGCAGTGGTGACATCCAGACCCAGCTGCTGCTGAGGACCACGTCTGGGTGCTTGGCCCTAGCATGGCTGGTGTCTGTACTGAAGTTCAAATCCCATATTGCCACCAAAGGTCGCATAGAAGCCCAGTGTTGGGGCTGCTACCTGAGGCCTTGGTGGTGGTCAGCGGCCATGTAGCTGCCAGAACCTTCCCAACCTGAGTGGCCATTGCTTCCACCAGACCCAGTATGTTTTCCAGCCTAAGTTGCCACTGAGGGCCATGTCTGGGTCTGTGGTCCAGCTGCAGCTGGGGTCTCTGTTGATGTCTGTGGCCTGTGTCACCTCAGGAAGCCTTAGGAGCCATGCAAGATGAAATCAGAAGGATATGCTGAGCCAGTCTGCCTTTCGCTGGCCCTGGGAAGACTGGCCTTGCATCTCACTGAACATGACAGCAAGAGATCTGGGCCCTGCACTCAGGAGAGAGGGCTGCCACCCCTCACCACAGACCAGGGTGAACCAACCCTGAAGGCATGCATGGAGGGGAGCTGACTCTGCCCCCTCGGCTGAGATGGGTGGCCCCAGTGGCCTGGACTGACCAGCTCAGCTACCACCCAGGCCCACGACCTGGCCTTGAGTTGGCACACCCTAGCATTTACCCCATCTAGGACCTCCTGGAGCTCATGAAGGGACTGGTCCTGTGAAGAAATACCTGCAGGATCTCCAAGACTCAGGGTGACCACAGGATATCCCAGAGGATTCTGGTGAGGATCCAGTGATGGCGTGTACCAGAAGCCAGAGGCCTTGAACCAGACCATCGACTCTTGCAATGAAAATTTGCCAGCAAAGCTGATTGGACAAAAGGGTGTACCATGTGACACATGCATGCGCCCAATGCCTCCAGATGAATGAAAAGGTATTGGAGAGACAGGACAGAAGGAGAAGCAAAGAGGTTGTTGGTTTTTGTTTGTTTGTTTTGGGGTTTGTTATTGTTCTTGTTTTCATTAGTTTGCTTACTTTGTTTTGTTTTCTTTTGTGGGAGAGCTGCAGGAGTGGTAAGGGGAGAATATGGAGGGACCAGGAGGTGAGTGGAATTGGGGTGCATGATGTGAAACTCCCAAAGAATCAATAAACAAATTTTTAAAAAAAGCCTTTCAAGCTGGGTGTGGTAGCACACGCCTTTGATCTCAGCACCTGGGAAGCAGAGAATCTCTGTGAGTTCGAGGCCAGCCTGGTCTATAGAGTGAGTTCCAGGACAGCCAAGGCTGTTACACAGAGGAAGCCTGTCCTGAGGGTGAAAAAAGTCTTTCAAAAGGTAACAACAATAAAATACTTTAGGATTGAGAATCCTGTGTGTGACATACGGATCTCAAAATTACATACAGATACATAGAATTGTTTTTTTAATTAATTTATTTAGCTTTATTTTTTGTGCATTGGTGTGAAAGTGTCAGATCCCCTGGGACTGGAGTCACAGACAGTTGTGAGCTGCCAAATGAACCTGGATCCTCTAGAAGAGCAGTCAGTGCTCTTAACCGCTGAACCCCATGCAATTGTTTTTTTTAATTACAACAATTTTGCAGATGGAAGCTAAACAGTGGGGCTCTAAGTAATGTGACCAGGAAGCTTAAAAAATCAAAACAAAAATACTGCACGTGCCCCAGCTAGACCTAAAATCAATTAACTCATTAACTCCAATCTGTGAGTAAGAGAGTGGGGTCCACCAGGCCTGTGTACTTTTTATAGCTCTTCAGGTGATTCCAGCACACACTGGGATCTTCTTCATGGTAAAACTCATTCCCTGACCTTTTAAGTCAGTCTTGCAAATCTGTGTGGACCGTCATCCTTTATTTCTGCCAATAACTTCTTTAAAGCAAATATCTGAGATTTCAACAACTTCAGAGATTCACAAATAACACACAGACAAAATACATGCACACGCATTTTTATTTATTTAACTTAGGCCCTAATTATTAGTACATACATCAGAAAAACTGAGTGCCTTGACACTTGCATACCCTCACCAAATATTTTTTTAAAAAACCTGAACTCTAAAAAAGCACACATCAAATATACTTAAGTCATAATATAACACACACACACACACACACACACACACACACACACACACACACACACACACATTCCCACACACAATTCAATCACCTTCAGGAACCATTACCCGGTAATAGATTTCATAGGTAAGATCTCACTGTACAAAAAAAAAAAAGAAGAAGAAACAAACAGAAACCCACATCTGAAAAAACCCAAACAAACAAATCAGCAGACTTTGATTAAGACATGTGCCCCTCCTGTGAGCACTGACAGTCGGCATGGTTTGTCACAGCACTTTGAGGTAGCATGTTCAGGAAAGGAAAACAAGTCACAGAGACACAAAGTACAGGCATCAGCCTTGGCCCTTCACACAGGAAGATGAGCTTGTCCATATTCACTGCTAATGTCAGCGGGACGTGCCTGGATGCTAATGTCAGCAGCGGGGGACGTGCCTGGATGCTCATCCACCCGCCTTCATGCAGCGCAGCAGCATTCTGATGCATCTTCCTTGTCTGCAAGGCCAGCCTCATTTGCCACATTGTGTCCCCACCGGCTGGGGCACTGGACATCATGGTATCCCTTCTTCTTGTGTTTGAAAACTACATTCACTAGGAGAGGCTCCTCTTTTTAAGGCTACAAAGAGGTTCATGTCGTCTCCATGATTGTAAGACCTAAAAAGGTGTCTCCTTCCTCCCCTTGGATACAATATTTATGGAGAAGCAGTAAGCTCTCTGGGATTTTCTGGTAGGATGATGAGCAGAGACACTTAAAAAGAAAAAAAAAACCCACACAACAAAACACAGGTACAAGATCAAAACCAAGGACAGGTTTCTTTTTGTAAGTTAATTGGGGGGCGGGGGTTGTTTTAGACATGGTTTCTCTAAGTAGCCATGGCTGTCCTGGAACCCACTATGTAGACCAGGCTGGCCTCAACTTAAGAGACTGGTTTGCCTCTGGAAAGCTGGGAGTGAAGGCATGTGGCACCATACCTGGCTCCCCTTTGCAAGTTAAAATGGCAGGGTTTACAGTTTGGGAAGTGGCTTGCTTCTTTTAAAGACAAGTCAGTTCAGGTCTGCATTTTAAATACAAATATACAATCAAGACAGGTTAAGGATTAAAGCTGCAAAGCCCACCAGACTTGGGGGCAAGTAATGGTTTGTTTTTCCGCTCAATGGTCACAGATCAAAAAGATTTCAAAAGCCCTTTGTCCAAATATGGTTCCCTCTTAGAAAGGTGAACCCTCAAAGATAACCAATACACAAGTGAATATAAAGAGTACATGTCCGAGCAAGAAGGGCATGTGCTGGGCCTGAGTTGCCACTTAAAATGGTATCTAGCATCACATAAAACCTCACAGGCAGCCCACAAATGAGCCCCGGGCATCACCGACCAAGTCAGTCACTGGAGTCAACTGTACAATGAGCATTAGACTTCAAGTATTGAGGTGCTACAGCAGCCGCTCAGAAGCCCTCCTGCACCCCACTCTATAAAAAGGGAAGCACTGCTGACTGCCTTATGAATTCGAGGGACAAGAGAACTGCTCTCCGAACTCAGCAGCCTCAGGAAGACAGAGGGTTCTTTACCGTCTGGGCAATGCCAAGGTACGCCAGCTGGCACTCGGGCAATTGCTTTGAATTCTTTCTCTCTCTCCCTTTTGTATCAAACAGGAAAATGGTTCCATTGGGTTAACAGTGTCATCTTAAAATGCCATAAATTAAATAAGTTAGTTCACATTTTTTTTCTTTCCCAGCACTTAAATTACAGTCAAGTCTCTAAAGCACTTTCAAAGCCTGCTGTAACAGTTCGAGGTCTCTTCTGTGGACACTGCTGGCCCTGGAGCACCCGTAGTCCTCCATCTGCAAAGGGAGGTACTGCTCAAGCACCCCCAGGCCCTGCTCAGCAGGACTGGTGAACAGCTTAGTCCATGATGGTCTAAAGTTTCCGCTGAATCCCAAAAATACAATACTGCCTATAAAGAGAGAGAGAGAGAGAAATGTTGTGTATAGCTACCAGTTTCAGCAAGATAATGATGGAGGTGAGTCAGAGTGGAGCATGCATTGGTGCATATACACACGTGCGTGCACGCGCGCACACACACACATGCACACGCACGTACGCATGCATACACACACATATGTATTGATAAAAATACCTCACTTCCTTACATCAGCAAGCAATTTTTGCCACCCAGATGACACACCATAACCCAACACACTTCCTCTGACACAGTTCTTTATGAAGAAATTATTTCAAGGATGCTCCCTCAAGGGAGAGCTCATGAAAACAGTCTAGCAGATAAACACCACCTTAGAAGTATTTTCACTGCCGCATCATAAGGACGCCATAGGATACTGCAAATACAAACCTTTGCTATACAGATGTGCTGGTTTGACCAGTCCCAGAAGTACTAAAGAATCGGAGATATTCATCTGTTTTATTTCCCCTCTTGTGCTCAACAGAACGATTGACCTGTGGGCAAAGTTAGACAATCAGAACCAATGTTAGTCATTCAGCATGGATTTACTGAAGATCTTTCTGGACTGAGAGCCATGGAGGAACACTCGACAAAAGCAAATTTAGAAAGGAAAACAGGCCCGGTTCTTTTTGTTCCCACTGACACAAGTCCCAACTGCCTGCTGCAAAGGGAACTTCTCATGGTCTTAGGAGGGTCGTAACACAGGGAAACCCAAAGGTATGGAAACCAAGAGTCATGTAGGCATGGGGGCAGAGTGGAACCCAGCCTTTCAAGGACTGGTCTACTCAGAGGGGGTGCTTTGGGTTTCTCTCTGTCATTACCTCTTTATTGTGAATGAGTAAACACAAACTTAAAACATAAAGATTAGTGTTAGAGTGCAGATCAATGGTGCAGTGTTGGTCTAGAATAGGGAGGTCCTGGACTCACTCCCCAGCGCTACAAATAACAGCAACAAACAAAAACAAACAAGCTATTCTCTGTGGCTTCAAAAAGATTTTTTTCATTTGTTTGTTTTAATTGCAATCTTTAGGGCTACTGAGGTGGCTCAGCAGTTGAGAGCAGTTGCTGTTCCACGAGAGGACTGACTGGGTTTGATTCCCAGCACCTACACGAAAGCTCACAACCACCTGTAACTCCAGCGCTACTAGATCTGATGCCCTCTTCTGGTCTCTGCAGGCTCAAGGCACATACATACACATAAAAATAGTAAAAATTTTGAAAAAGGCATCTTCAATGTACAGTAAAATCAATACAATATTCAGAGCTGTTTGTGGATCCCTGCTTCTCTTCCTGTGATAATTGCTATGGCTTCATGCTTTATTTTAGTATCTGACCAATAAGATCTTTGTATTGGTATAATTTTAAAAAAAAAGGAACTTACCACTCTTCAAAGTGAACTGACTGCAATACCAGCTGCCAAGTACAACAAGAAGGGAAGCTGTTTGCTCCCACATACAGAAAGTGTGCTACTTGTATAATTTATAATTTAATTTAGTGAGGGGCATCTTTAATATTAATTTCCATTCCTTTGACAAGTGCTTACTACCAGAACTATGGTATAGGCTCTTGGCTGTAGTTCTCCTAAAGCAGTGGTGATTGGGTTCAGAATTATTACAGAAGTCCTGCAGGTCTGAACTTCAACAGCATGGAATTATGAGGCCAATCTGGATGCACACACAGGCAGCCCACCCACAGGCTCTCAGAAAGTCACTGCACTATAACTCCATTCTGAAGCCCTGGCTGACTGGACCTTCCTAAGTAGACCAACCTTCTAGTGATCCTCCTGTCTCTACTTCCAGAATGCCAAGACTGCCACTACTCCTGGCCCCTGCCCTATAACGTCTTGATACTACATTAAAATTCAATATACGCATGTAGCAATCCTAGGGTTCAATGCATAAGCCTCTGAAAACTAAACACAGTAATAGAACCAGCAGGCAGCTGGAGAAATAACTCTCTCTAAAAAGTCTCTTCTTAGTTAGTTGTTTTAAATCCTCAGTGTGTAGGGTACCTTGCAAAACCATGTTTTTCTACTATTTGGTGAGATTTATATCCTGGGTTGTTTGAGGAAAAGTGAGGATATGGTTTTTTGTTTTGTTTTGCTTTTTTGAGACAGGGTTTCTCTGCGGCTTTGGAGGCTGTCCTGGAACTATTTCTTGTAGACCAGGCTGGTCTCAAACTCACAGAGATCCGCCTGCCTTTGGCTCCTGAGTGCTGGGATTAAAGGTGTGCGCCACCACAAGGCCGGATATGGGTTTTTAAACGCTGAGAAAAATCTTTAAATGCTGAAACCTCAGAAAGGAATTCTCTAAAATTATCCTAACAGTAAGATAGTTCTATAGCTAGCTGGTCCTCCTATCCACAGGCTCTGCAGACCTGATAACCTGAGTTCCATTCCCAGGACCCAAGTGGTAGAAAGAGAAGAAGTATAAGATACCCTACGCTCACTCTATGTGCACCTGGGCATGCATGGGCAAGCATTCCATCATGTACAAAGGAAACATAGTGAAAACTTGGGGGAGAGGAAATCTGCATGTATACTGGATACAAACACACTTCATCTCTTACCACTGTTCCTAAACAATACAATATAACAAGTATTTACATCACATTTACATGGGTCTTGCCATTATTCAGAGAGAGGATTTAAAGCGTACAGAAGAACTATGAAGGTTATATGCAAATATTACACCATCTTAAATAAGGGGAACAGATATCTGCAGGGGGAATAAAACCAAACTTCTGTGGACACTGAGGGAAGACTACTGAGGAATGACCTCCTCCAAACATACCATGCCTCACACACATACACACACACACACACACACACACACACACACACACACACACACACACACACAGAGAGAGAGAGAGAGAATGAACACATGCACACAAATGTTATGCCAAAATAATCCAAAGACTTTATGGGATTTATTGGGAGCTAGTTCTACAGGCCACAAGAACATATACCTTCAGATCAATGGAAATGACTAGAGGGCCGGGCGAGCTTCACTCTACAGGACACTTATGCTCTTTCAGTAAATGGCTGCACTTACTATCTACCACAGAGTAGAATGGTCTGGTCAATCCAGAAAATGAAATGTTCTCCAGGGCCTCTTTTTTTCAGAGATGAATGACAACAACAAAAACCAGACACTGCTCTTAAAAGAGATCTGGGACACACAACCACTTAAAACTTAAGTTACTCTTTCCCAGATACCAACTGACCTGGGCAATGGCGTCCTGAATCCTGTACAAAGCTGTCTGAGAGTCCATCAGTGGGAGCAACAGCCACTGAAGAAAAAACTACCTCACAGAGCCTGAAATGCTCATGGAGTAAACAGAGCTCAGAAGTAGGCATGGAAGTGGGGAGTCATGTCTTAAGGCAGCTTTGCTCTGGTGCAGGGCCTACCTTGGAGGGATGCTAGACTTTAAATACTCTCCCATCTGACTGGCATCTGCAGGAAGGAACATCTTTTTTTCTGTCAACCGGAAGGGAACACTGCAGGCATCCACAACAAGGATGAGAATGCCTGCACTCCGGAAGGTGAAGTCTGTACCATTGACCTGAAAATACAAAAATATCTTATATGTCATCTCCATTTCAGGAACATCCCTAGGATGCTTGAGTTTTCTCTAGCTCTTTCTAAGCTCAGGATTCAAAATATATCATGTTTGGTTTACACTGGTACCCATATTCCTCCAGATTTCAGCTTCTTTAACTGTAGGTCATGATCCCATGCAGAGTCAGAAATACCCCAGGTGCATTGTGTGTTTATTTTTTAGTGGATTTTTGTTTGTTTGTGCATCCAGAAACCTTTCCATCATAGGACTGTGCTATGAAGTATGGAAGCCAAGTTGAATGAGGGAACAGAGGAAACATTTAATCCTGGAACCTGGCTGAGAGGCAAGATAAATTAAAACTGCCCACTAAGATAGCACATGTTTTCCTAAAGATATCTTAAAGTTAAAGAAAACAAGTCACATAGGGTCAGAATATGTGTGGCTGTCAGTTTTTACCATGTTAGCACCCTAGCAACCCTAAACCCCAAAAACGCATCTCACCAAACCACCTTACAGGTTCATTTACAAAAAGAGTAAGAATGCCAACTTGTATGTTTCCTTCTATGTTTATGTTTAATCTCTGAACACTGCTATAAATGATGACTTTTGAGCAAGTTAGCAAGTCACAGAACTGAAGAAAATGAAGCCCAACTCTCTTATGAAGTCTACACTGTCTTAGACTGTGCCCTCTCCCTCTGCTCCCCTCCATGCGCCCTGGCTCTCTTGCTTTCCTGTACTTACCTTTACATCTGAGGCATAGATTCTCCCCTTTCTGAGGTAAGTTTGAATGAGAATGGCCTAGAATGTTTGATCCTCATTTGGTAGAATTCTTTGGTAAGGATTAGGAGACAGGGCCTTGTTGAAGGAGGTGCACCCCTGGGGATAGGCTCCAGGTTTTAAAAGCCTATGCCATTACCAGTTAGAGCTCTCTCCCTCTCCCTCTTCCTGTCCTTTTCCCTCTCCCTCTCCCTCTCCCTCTCCCTCTCCCTCTCCATGTCCCTCTCCCTGTCCCTCTCCATGTCCCTCTCCCTGTCCCTCTCCCTGTCCCTCTCCCTCTTCCTGTCCCTCTCCCTGTCCCTCTCCCTCTTCCTGTCCCTCTCCGTCTTCCTGTCCCTCTCCCTCTCCTTCTCCCTCTCCCTGTCCTTCTCCCTCTCCCTGTCCCTCTCCCTGTCCCTCTCCCTCTTCCTGTCCCTCTCCCTCTCCTTCTCCCTCTCCCTGTCCTTCTCCCTCTCCCTCTCCCTGTCCCTCTCCCTCTTCCTGTCCCTCTTCCTGTCCCTCTCCCTCTTCCTGTCCCTGTCCCTCTCCCTCTTCCTGTCCCTGTCCCTCTCCCTCTTCCTGTCCCTCTCCCTGTCCCTCTCCCTCTGCCTCTCCCTCTCTTTGCCTTTTGGCCCTCTGTCTCTTTGCCTTTTGGTTGTTGTCTCACAATGTGAGCTCTTAGCTGTCTGCCCAGTGTCATGCCTGCCTACCTGCTGCCATGATAGTCATGTGGTCATGGACTCACCCTCTGAAACTGTAAGTCACAATAAACTCTTCTATAAGTTGTTTTGGTCATGGTCTCTTCACAGCAACAAGAGAAGTAACCAAGGCATTCCACTTAATAAATTCACTAATTTTGGCTTTTTGTCCTGAAATTCTTTCCTATGCAGCCAAGGAGCCAGCTTTGCTGAAAGAAGGCCCCTGGGGCCACAATGACCTTCCCCTCCCTACCACTGACAGTATCATTACACTGTTTCAAAAAAACCTTCCCTAAGTCACCATCTGTGATCTTGTATGGCAAGCAGGGCATGAAGGCACATGACTATAACACCAACACTCAGGATTCTGAGGCAGAGGATCATGAGTGTCAGGCCGGCCTCGGCTACTTAGGAAAATCTTGACTCAAAAAGAAAAAAAAGAAAGAAAGAAAGATAATGAAATAACATATAAAAAACAACAAAAAAAGGAAAGCCAGAATTACTAAATATTAATTTCTCAATACAAAAGAGAAGACAAAACAAAAAAAAACCTACATACTAACCACATATTACTTATCTATTAAGAATAAAGCATGCTATACTAACAGTTAACAAGAGTTTGACAGGTTCTTTTTGCCATGCTTGTCCTTCCTGAAATATTGTTTCTAACCCATGACTTAGCTTATGTGAACTCAATTTGTTTAGCTATGTGTAAGTTGCTCGAATTCAGGAAATAGATATTCAAATTCCTGATGTAATCCTTTCTCTTTTAATTATATTCTCTGTGTATGTGGGGGGGTGCTATGGGATGAATATGGATGTCAAAGAATAATTTACAGGAGTAAGTTTCCTCCTTCTACTTTGTGAGGTCCCAGGGATTGAACTCGGGTAGTTAGGCTTCTTGGCAATTGCATTTAGCCACTGAGCCATCTTGTCTACCCACTGTGAATCTTATGTGAGAAAAAAGAAAATGGAAATGACCCACTATTTACTAATATTTAAATTTCATGTAAGATAAGAAATTCCATAATGATTCCCAGAAATTCAAAGTGTGCTTGCAAAAAGCACCATCCCTCTGCAAAAAACAAACAAACAAACAGAAGGAGGGGGAAGAAGTTTTCAGAAAGGGTTAACATCATGGGTCACGATGAGAAAGTTCTGGACATAAATATGCCAACAGGAGCTCTGCAGCTTGATAAGAAACACTGGAAATCAGCTCAGTGTTGTTGACAGCAGCCCATGATAAATACACATTATATAACTGCATAGGATGGCAAAAGTTCATGTTACAGTTCATGTTACATGTATCTTTTTTTTTTTTTTTTGGTTTTTTGAGACAGAGTTTCTCTGTGTTGTTTTGAAGCATGTTACATGTATCTTACTACCTTAAAAAATGGGGCAGATGTAAGCCTAATTTTGTCCCCACACACTTGGAATTGCAATTATCATAAGTCACTGCTTTAACAAAATGAATTCCTGCAGAGACCACAGGAAACTGAGAGGGATGCTGGACATTGGCTAGCAAAGAGTTCCTTACACAGAGACCCCCAGACCGCCCTGACTTGGGGCAGACCACATCTGAGTCCTAGTTCCCAACTGGGCTATGAGCCCAACTAGTGCTGACCCTGTGACTTGCATCTACTTCATTGATGCTCTCAGGAAAGACCATACTCTGTCTTTGCTCTTGTCTCTGCCTTAAAGGAGATAGGAAGCCTTCGAAGAAAAGGCCAAAGGAATTTAGAAGCTATCATTCCCCATATTTTAAAGAACTTGGGAGTTTATTTTAATTCACAAAACAAGAATAAACATGGTTTTCTCCATATTTAGTGAACATGTGAACTATTCTCTAACTAAATGTGCCTTTCCTTTAGTGAAAAATAGTCTAAATAATTTTTTAACATTAGGCTAAGACTGGTTCTCAACCTTCCTAATGCTGCGACCTCATGTTGTGGTGACCCCAACCATAAAATTACTTTGTTGCTTCTTCATAACTCTAATTTTGCTACTGTTATGAATTGTAATGCAAATATCAGATATGTGACCCCAAAAGGGCCACTACCCACAGGTTTAGAACCACTGGCCTATGAGAAATCGATGAATAATCCACTTGAAAAAATAACTTGAAAACACACCCGTTTGGGAGGCATTTATATCTCAGCTGCATTCCTGCCACCAGTCATCAAATGAGATGACAAACCCATGACTGGTCCCAGAAATAATATCACTAGGATTGAAGATCAAAACAAAGAAGTCACAGCAGTTCACAGACATGCAGTGGTCTGCACTTGGCCAAAGGAAAAGAAGTGATGCTGTGGCTGGATATCTGTGCTCCTACAAATTCACAGCTTGAGATTCTAATCCCCAAAGTGATGGTCTCAGGGGGTAGAGCCTTTGAGGAATGAGGGATGCCCTTGTGAATGACACTTAGAAGTTAAGCCCGAGAGACGACAGGACACACACAGGGAGGAGATGCAATCTATGAGCCAGGAAATTGGCCCTCCCCATAGTACTTTCCTATAGCCTCCATCTTGGACTTCCCAGAGTTCTAAAACTGTCAGCAGTAAGTTCTACTGCTTCTAAGCTACTTAGCCTATGGTATTTTATTACAGCAGCCCAAAAAGACTGTGGCAACGCCAGGCTGTACTTACAGAAATAACAGATGGATCTCCACGCTGTGTTTCTACTTTACCGGGTGACTGGAACCGTACAGGGAGGTAGCTCTGGTGGGGGTCACTGCTAAACACCATCTAGACGAGAACACATTGCATCTTTGACGGCAACTGTATCGAAATCCCACAGGTCACTCAGAACACACTCAATTATTCCAAGTGATTATTTATCTTAACTTTTTATGCCCACTTCATGACATGGAATTCTAGCTCATACATTTCATACAGGAAGTGTATGCTTCTTGGTTTCTGGAAAAATCACAGTTTCAAAGAAGCATAGTCTTGTTAATGAAATAAAAAAGGGGCCAGGGTCTAGCTCAGTGGCATATCACGTGCTTAGCATGCATTCCCACATACAATCACCACTGGTGATAATCAAGTCATTTTGAAAAGTTACCAAGTTTATTTAGTAATGAAGGTCATTCTGAACACTGAGCTAGAGCATTCAATGTCTCCCCCAACAGTACCTAAAAGTGAAAATATTACCTGGGACTGGGAAATCTCAGTGGTACAGTATGTATCTAGAAAGTTCAAGGCCCTACATTCTGGGCAAAGCATGGAAAAGAAAAAAAATTTACATGAGCCAGGCAAGAACCCATATGGAGTCCAGTGTTTGTTGGCTGGCTTTCTGTTTTACAAGAATGGGAGAGCAGAGATCATTAACGAATATGAGAGTAAGGTAGTATAGTAAATTGCCATCAAAAAACTGTCAGCTAGGTGTGGTGACTGAGACAGGAGGACCTAAATTTCAAAGTCAGCTTGGACTCAAAAAATTAAAACAAAACAAAAACAAACTAACAAAGGAAAGGGGGTACACAGTAAGCACTGGAGGGGAGAATAATGCAGGGAGTACACAGTGGATAATGGGGGAGGATAAGGGAATGGGGTACAGAGTGGAGGATGGGGAGGACGAGGGATGGAGATACAAGTGGATGATAGGAGAGGGTGATGGGGGATGTCCTTTCTGTATGCTGTGAATATATGGAGATGAGAACAAAGTACAATGATACATAGGATTGAAAATGTCATAACAACATCACTGTTTTCACGCTCAGTAAGAATTAATGAAAACATAGACAGGATAGAGAAAAACAAAGTTCATGTTATGGGAAGCATAGAGCTAATTCCTTTCTCTTCCTGGTGCTACTTATGGTGAGAAACGGGTGGGATTTATGCCGTGGAGGAAGAAATCTGGTCTCAAATGACCTACAGAAAGACCTAAGAATTTTAAGTATTTCCTTCATTTACAGTCAGATGCTTTTTCTTTTCTTTCTTTTCTTTTTTTTTTTTTTTTTTTTGGTTTGTTTTTGTTTTTGTGGCAAATCTTCTTCTTTAAGACTATTCACTAGATATGGGCAGCATCAGCATTATCACAGGCCGGGGGAGGTTCCTGGGCTCAGTCTGGAGCACAAACTCATAGCACTGCAGTAGAACAAGAATTCCCAGTGACAGACAGGTTCCCAGGAGATGCTGGCCCAGGAACACACTGTCAGAACCGTCTTTTCCTTCACATGTGTTTCTCAGAAGACTAAGTGTGTCAAGTGGTCATTAATTAGGTCTGTGTTTCTCTTTCACCTGGAACTGCTCTGACTTTCCTTGGCCCCATCTGTGTGCACGTCTAGAAATTTACTTCCACTGCCCCGTTTTCTTCAAGATAACTGGGATATATTCTAAGCAAGAGCCCATCAAGAGAAGTAGAGAAGTATTTTTACTTCTCATCAAAGTCAATCTGTGTTTTCAATTACAAGAAAAATATAATAGCATCTGCTTCAAAATAGTGACCTTTAAAAAGGAAAACAAGTTTTGACATGAGCTGCAATTTCATACTACTAACAAAACAAAAGCATTATGGGGCCTGGTGGCATATGCCTATAATCCCAGAACTCAAAAATAAGTCAGGATGATCAGGAGTTCAAGGTTATCCTAAGCTATATAGCAAGTTCAAAGCTATCCTTTGATTGATGAGATCATATATCAAAAAACATTAAACACATACATACATAAATAAAACAATTTAATAGCACTTTTAGACAAGTAACCCCAATAGTAATAATGGAATAGAATCCTAAGCCTAGAAAACTTTAACCAACACAATAACCTTTAATTTTAAATATGAAACTCATAATCAAGGTAAACTAACCTATCAAGAAAAAAAGACACTTTCGCTATAAATGGGGACTGTTTTGCTTCTTATGAGCAACACATTCTAGACTAGACCAAAATTTAAGAGGCATCAACATGTATTTATAAAGTTGCACAATATATGCTTCAAAGTCAAGTGCTCCTACTGCCAAGGGAAGAAACTCTGACTTCCCTCCAAAGGCTCCCTCTTCTTCTCTGCTTACCTGGTGGGTGCCACAGCCTTGACAGAGTCCTGTGAGCATGGCTGGCATGCGCTTGACCGCCGAGGGCTTTTTGTAATACTGCGGGTACGCTTTGTCCATGCAGTTACTGATGTCTTTGGAGTCTGTTGCTGCCTGAATCTTGACTCTTTCACATCCCTGAGATGAACAGTAACTGTGACCATCTCTGTGGCTATGGGCTCTGAGATACAGAAACAATAACCTGTAAAATATAAACCAAGCCAATTGTTGTTAGTTCCTCTAAGAAGCATAAAATTTCTTAACTTGATTCATGGCCAAGGGGTATTTCTCTAATAAAGAAACTTTTCCTTAAAAAAAAAATTGCAAAGCTAATAAAACGTTTCACTTTCCTAAAATCCCCCTAGTGTCTCAGGTCACTGCCTTAGGGAGTACTGTGATGCTTTGGTTCAGTTGTCATGAAAGACAGCAAAGTTGATTTCTGGTTTAAATTAGTTCAAGGGGTCGTCTGAGAGGAAGGAATTCAGCTTGCCTCAAAACTTGAAAACTATACTTATATTGGGTTTAAAAATGGAACATTAAATATCAGCTATTCCTTTTGTTGTCACTGCTCATAAATCATTGTGGAAACGGGGATAATAAAGTAGCAACTGGAGCTCATTTAACTAAAGCCAAGACAATCAAAGCCTTGAGATGCTTCCCAAGAGCACATGGACCTGGGGTCCACCTTCTCAACTGGGCCAAAACCAGGCTGAGGAAACAAGTTTCACCAGTTCTAAATTACAGTCTACCAAGATGAATGGGAAATCCGACTTCTAAGAAATGCTACAGCACTATGAAAACCTAGTGTTCCTAAACCAAAGGAGTCAAGATTCAAAGGGCTTGATACAATGTGAGTGACTAATGAAGAGTTCACATTTTAAGATGAGCTCAATGGGCAATGCAAAGTTACAACTGAAAGGTAAGCATACAACCAAAATAGACTGTACCAAATTCTCAAAGAATTAGAGACATTATAATAAATTGTTTTTAAAAGGCAAGAGCCAAGCATGGTGATACATGCCTTTCCAGCACTCAGAAGGCAGGGCAGGTAGATGGACCTCTGCGAGTTCAAAGCCAGTCAGGTCTACACAGAGTTTTTCCAGGCCAGCCAGAGTTTATAATGAGGCCTTGTCTTTCTCCCCACAAAAGGTAAGAATATTGGTGACTGTCCCAACATCTAGTAATTTCAGCATAAATACTTAAAAAAATAACAAGGGCCTAAGTGGGCAAAAGCCTTTTAATATATAATTTAGATTGTCAAAATTAATATAATTGAAAAGAAATGGATCTTCAGAAGCTGGATTTTTTTTAATAACCTAACCAGAAATAATGTCCCATCTTGGTACATGAGTAATCACAAACTTGTAGCCACTGGAATGTCCTTACAAATTTGGTCGTTCCTTTTATTTTTGTGAAAATTCAACTAAGAATGTGGATGTTCCGTCGTCAACAAGGTAAAGGTCCAGTTAGACTTTTTATATTTAGTTAGAGATTGAAATTTGGAGCCTCTTAAGCCTACCACACTGGCTGCTGGGAGAACGAGAGGGCGAATGGGTTGCTTTGCAGACAGAGGTTAACCAGATGATTAGCAAATGAGCCCCAACTTTCATCCCCCAGGCAACTCTGCTCCCACTTCTTCCCACTCTGAACTTTGTGTCTTTCCCAAACATGCCATGCCAATGTTAGTCCATGCCTCCATGCATCTGTGTACCGTTTCTTCTACCTGAGACTCCTCACCCAGCTGTTTCTATCGCCCCCTAACTGCTCAAGAATTAGCTAGTGTGGCACCCTTTGCAGGATGTCACGTACTCTCATCTAATGTGTGAGTTACCCCCTGAGGCACACTAACTACACTGCTGTTGGACTTTAGCATTTAAGTTTTTTACTCTCTAGTAGCTTGCTTCGATGATCAAATTCTCTGCAGAGATGAGTCCTATCTGCATTGGTATCATTTTTTTTCTGCATTAGTATCTTTATACCTAGATGGTAGACAGTCAGCTTATGGATGGCATTGGAAGGAGCATGCTACTTGCTGGAGAGAAGAGGAGATCAAGCCTACCATCACCCACAGGCTGAGAGACTGTAACTGGACAAAAGCGGACAAAGCCACCAGGACCCCAGGAGAGCAGCATAAGAATTAAAAAGTGGAAAGACGCAGCCTAGAGAAAGTTGGAAGCAAATATGCCATGGTTACACAGTGATGTTTAAAAACTTGTGGTCAGCTTGAGAAGTAACCTTAAGTTACAAGGGGGAAATGAGCTTTCAGTGAAATATAAGCAACTGTTACAAATAACTTATATAAATAACTATCACAGAGTTGTTGCAGAAGAACAAATTAATTTTCAGTTGTGCCTACTGATGGCTCTTGACAATGATAATCTCTTCCCCTAAATTGCCTTAATAAGTAAACAGCAAGTATCTCCACTTGAGTACCACTGATAACTATAGTTATGAGTCATCTGAGCTGGGCTCCTAGCTCCTAATAATGACATGCACAGCTGTCCATGCCAGAGGCTCTGCTAAAGATCTGTCACATCCCGTCCATTCTTAGCTATGCGAGGGAAGCAGCAATTTCATCCTTAAAGAAAATCAGAGTTAAGTTCTCATTCACTGCTCCCATGAATTACCCTGTGCCAGAGTCAAAATAGAATTTTCTTGCAGACGGTTTCTTCTGTAGCTCTTCCATCGACTGTGCGGGCTCATACTCTTCAATTCTGGATAAGGAGCCATTCTGCCGCTGCAGGAAGCCGAAGGTAACCTGAAAGCTTGTGTTGGCTGGGTAACAGAGGCCAACTCGGATCCAGTCATCCCTTTGAGGAGAAAGAGAACAAAATATTCACACCTGAGTCAGTATCTTTTGAACGCTGCAGCATACGGAATGAAATGTGACTTCTCTCTGCCTTTTGAGTCCTAAGCCCCAAATATTGTGTGTGTGTGTGTACATATATATATATATATATGAAATATGAAAATAAGATATACCAAAGAAATATAAAAACAAGAACTTGGTTTCAGGAGAAGCCGAAATGTATTTGTGAGTTAAAGTTAAATAACATTCTTCAAGTTCCAGGTGGGTATGGGTACGCTAACAAGAAACCACCAACAACCTGACATCCTGATTTTCTGGAGGCACAACTATGAGAAATGAAGGCTCGAGCCATTTATCCAAGCTACCAAACTGCTACAATGGTCTTCCTGATGATTCTTCAATATAAAATTATTTATTTTTAAAAAATTAAAATATTTTCTTCCTTTTGGCATTTCCTTTGGTGACATTTTTATTGTGGTGAGATAAATACAACCTAAAGTTTCCATTTTATGCATTTTCAATGGTACAGCTCAGTGTACTAATTATATTCACAAGGTCCACCACCCCTGGCCTTGTCATAACCTTTCTATATCTAAAGAGCCTTAAGATACTGCAAGAATTTAACACTGTTCATACACTGTACCAGGGAATCCCACTAAGGAAAAAATACGAAGGCAGACCAAAAGCTTTAAAAACAGGGCTGTCCCATAGGGTGTCATTTATAACAGCACAGGGGGTAGAAATCCTCAATGTTCATGATTATTTAAACAATCACAGTCCATCCACAGTTCAGAAAAACCTGAGGGTAATGGGAAAGGGCACCATAATATTTATCTGCCTCACTTTAGTTAGGATTAAGGATAACCTCAATTTTCTTTTTGGCTTGTCTGTATTTTCCTTATGTTTAATAAGTACAGTGTTTAAAGTGTTCCTTTCAGAAGTAGCGTTATGACCTCTCTGTAATTACACTAAATTCAGAAAAATTATTCATCTCTTCCTCTTGCCTCTGCCCATCGTGTAATTTTTATGAACTTTTAGCTAATTAGGCAAGGAAAAAGTGACTTTATTTCAAGCTCGTGTTGACTTTTGAAACTTCTAGGCTCACTGCTTTTTCCCTTTAAAAGTCTTATTTGTCCAGAATCGAATGAAAAGTTCGCATTTGTACTTTACAGAACCTGTCCATCATTTCACTGGAATATCTCACCTCAAACCCATGATCCAACTCAAAGTAAGTTTCCAGAACACTGATTCCCTTCCCATCCTCCCTACTGTTCTTTTCTCACTGGCTTCTTTGCAACTCACTGGCAATAACAGGCTGGGCCTGAAGAAATCTCACCAGGAACACAATATGACCTAGGGACTGAAGGTAGAGAGATTGAGCTGCTGCAAGGATCTGGGCAAAGATGTTGGCGGCCTAAATTCAGCTACAAACTATGAAGACTGGACTGGAAATATCTGAATGGCATTAAGGAGCCAGAAATGAGAGTTCACTAGCAATGGGATGGAAAGGGAAGGGTCAGCATAGAGAATGAGTTGGGCATTAGGGCTTGGCAGTATCAGAAGGACACAGGTAAGCAGCAAGCTTAGAGAAGAAAACAATAGTTCATTTGCAGTACCCACCAATCTCACACCAAGGGCATCTGCCATCATGAGCACCCAGCCTTGGAAGTGAGCTACTTAGATCCAAACTCCCAGACCTCTGTCTATCTCAACTGCTTGTTAAGCAAAGGCAACAACTCCAAGTTTCATGACCAATAAGATAAACAAGCTAATCAATTTTCAGGCATAGGTTTGAACAACTACATGGAATCCCAAGAGGTTGGCCACAGCGTAATTCTAGATTATTTTACCCCATGGCTTCCACATAATCAGATTCAACCACCAAATGAAAATCGAAAATATGCAGAAAAACAAATCAAACCACCATAATTGTTCTGAAAATACAAACTTTCCCCTTGCCATTGTTCCTTAAACAATAGTGTAGCAACTGCTTACAGTTCTTTAACATTGAAAGTAATCTACCGATAACCAAAAATACAGGATGTTGTATGCATGTGGATTACATGCAAATATCATGTCATTTCATATAAGGATGTGAACATCTATGAAGTTTAATATTCGCAAGGTTTCCTAAAAACCAGCTTCCCAAAGACACAGGGCAATGACTATTGCTCTCCCTTCCTTCTGGTTTAAACTTCTATCCTTCCTCTGATATTCCCTATATTCCTAGTCACCAAATCTACCATTCTGAGCTGAGCAGGCCCTTTCTCAACACTGGGCTTTTGAACTAGATTGACAGTTACAGACTATCATTATCTCTCTGTGTCCTGGCTCTACTCCCCTGAGCAGAGAATGCTGAATTGGTATCCACATCCTATGTCTTTGAAGAAGAGGAAGAGGATGAAGAAGAGGAGGAGGAAGAGGAAAAGGAGGAAGAAGAAAAAGACATCTATTTACTTGATATTTTCCTCACCTCTCTAATGTGAGCTCATTCATTATTATATCAACTGACATACAGTAAATGAATAAATTAGTGAAAAATACAGCCTTGGAATAAATGTGACACCGTGAGAACAGACAACGGGTTAGTTGAGACAGTGTGGCAAGACATTGTTAGGAAAATCTCTTACATTCTAAGATTCTAAGAGATTGAATTTTATTTATTTATTTGTTTGTTTATTTGCTGTTCCCTTTCCTCCCCATTCCAGCTGTTCTGGCTAGGGCCATGTAGCAGGACAGCCCCTCAAATGAGTCCACAACACTGGAGTGGGGTGGGAGACATCTTTTCAATGGAAAAGTTGTAGAAAATCTCAATGTGTTTAAGAGTCTTCTTGTCTTCTGCTGTCACAGTGTTAAAAGCCACACCCTTATGGTCAAACTCACCACCATGACCAATTCTGTGAATGCAGTTTGCCCTGTTGGTGGGATGCCATAATTCATAGCTTCTGGCCAGCAGATCAGTGGTAGTAAATACTTTTCTAGAACTAGACTGAAACTCCCTCATGGTCATGTCTCATTCCTTTTGGTCCATATCTCTATGCATGGCAGAAACAGTGAAATCCCAAGCTTGCACCTTCTTAGTGAGCCAATCCACACCTTCTTGCTCCTATTGATAGACGACAGCCTGGGTGACAGTCAGTGTATCATACAAATCACAGAGTGTCGAGCTTCCACCCCTCTCGTTCCACACTGATGTATATTGGTGGATACCTTCCAGGCCAATTCTTCCTTCTTGACAAGAATCTGAATGAGGTCTCTCATTGAACTTCTTGGTGACCTCAAGGACATCAGAAGGCATTGCAGTCAACTATCCAGTACTGTTGAGCTTTTGGAATATATCATAGATATGGTCCTTGAGCCCATGGCTTAACATTTCATCTGCTTTATACAGTGCAAACATCTTAATGTATTTGGGGGACAGGTTATCTCCAGTTAAGTGCATAAAACACCTGGCCAGGGGTAGTCACAATGATATTGGGGAACTTCCATCTACAGCTTTCTGCAACTAAGCATGTGCATTAGTGCTCCCCAAACAGGCAAGACAAGAGGCATCCACACAGTCTCCTAGTGCCATAACTAAGTTTTGCATCTGCTGAACCAATTCATGAGCTGATGCTAGGACCAAAAAAGTGAGACTGGCCTTTAGATGTGCTGAGGAATTGATATGGCAAATGTGGCTGTTTTCCCAGTCCCAGAGTGGACTTGAACAATCATGTCATAACCCCTTGACACAAGGAAGAATGGCTCCCTGCTGGGTGGCAAAGGATGTCTCAAAACCAGAGGCATAGGTACCATAGAGGAGATCTTCGGAGAGATTCATATCATCAAATCTCATTCCAGTCACCCTTGATGACGTCTTCAGGCTTCCCTGAGAATCCTGACTCACAGATGATCCTTAGTGAGACTGGAACTTAGTGAGACTGGAACAGCCAAGTTAAGAATACTCCTTGAGGCCACTTACGACTGAAGACTGATACCCTACTGTATCCCCAGCCTATCTGATTAACCTGCCTTTAAGAGAACACTGTACCAATCAACCGTACTTGCCTTGGATTTCCTAGGTAATCAACTTTTACAAACTAAGCTGTAATTTTAAACTATGTACTCTTCCACATTCCTGACCCAGAGTATATTATGGCAGTAAATGCTGAAAATAATAGGTTGAAAGCAACCTTATTAAACAAATATCCACCACATGGATACAGGCTGAGAAGATTGTTTGCAGTGATGCTTGCGGTAATATTTGTTATCTGGGAGAGTGGGGCTCAGGAAGTCAATAAAGCTTCATTCCTTGTGAAACTCTATTTAAGATTTCTCTAAGGTGTCCTCATTCCTTCCCCAAGTGATGCTTTCTATGCTGTTCAATAGTGTGAAGCTTTGTTAAGGACACAGATACAGACTCAGGGACAAGGACAGACAAACAGCACTCAGACAGGCAGATTCCGACTCACACAATGGGCAGACTAGAGAGGAGGAATGAAGAGGGAGAAGTGGAGAATCCAAATCTGGGCTTGGTAAACCTACTGGAAGGAAAGGTGCTTTGATTTCTTTCCCTTAGAGCAACATCAATGCATTTTGGGGACTCGGGCGTTATTATTGATGCACTTAAAGTGACACAAGACAGGGCAGAAAGACACTACAAAGCAGGAGTAGGAAATTCCTGGTATTAATGCCCCAACATTTCTTCCTATTGTCCTAGACGCCATTACCAACTAATCATGTCACTATCTCTTGTCCTGTCTATGCTTGGACTCAAAATTCTCTCAATATTGTCAGTTGTTGTGATTTCATACCATAATCCTAGCACTTGGAAAGCTGAGGCAGGAGGACTGTCACAATTTCAAGGCCAGTATGGACTACATAGCAAGGCTGTGTTAGTCCTCTTACCCACTGGGGCCGAAGGGGTGGGGAGAAGAAAAGAGAAAAGAAAGCGAGCCAGTCTTTTAGTTTAATTTTCCACATGCTTACTCAGAAAACCACATAAAACTGGAGCCAGCTTTAGGAAACTGCAATGCTCAGCAGATGGTACTAAAACCTATCTTTTGAGTAGAGGGTATCGCTTTGAGTAGAGCTCTTGCTAATGTACTTGAGGTCCTGGATTGAAGCCCAACTATCTCAGATAACAACAAAAGAAGACATACTAGCAAAAGCATGCTTATGATGCAGCCTGCTTTAGCTAGACATGGATAAAACAGACCCTCACCTTATAACAGAGAGAAAGAAATGATCTTAAAAGTCAAATCGGTCATAGAATCAACCTGCACAATCACACTTCCTCCTCACAGCCTAGACTGTTTCTCCACAAGAGTAAAGTGCATTCAACAGCTTCATGGTATGCCATTCTTTTCTCTACCGTGACTGTGCAAGGACAGAAATAGAAACATTACTTGTTGAAGTTCACGAGGTACAAGAAAGTGGTGCGTGGCGCCGGACCGTTCCAGTGGATGGTGTAGCCCTTCTCCAGCATGACAACAGGCTGGTACTGGGGGGAAATGGCCCTCTGGTTGATACCCCGAAGCACCATTGGGTGGGATGGGTATTCATCTCGTGTGATGATCATGCTAAGATTCGGAGTGTTCCATGTCTGAACGTACACCTTTAAGAAAAGGTTAAGAATTGAAGGGAAGTGAATAAAAGATTAAACAGCTCTAAGAACTTACCCAGCACACGTAAGGGTCTGTACTTTGAAAAGAGATTCTGTGATAAGTGTGCCAGCCTAAATAAGCAGTGGCCAAGTAGCCTAAGCCATGCTTACGATGCAGCCTGCTTTAGCTAGACATGGCTAAAACCAGACTCTCGTCCTGCCAGCCAAGATCATCATCAATTCCAGCACCACAGGCTAGCTTATTCATCAGGACGGAGAATGTCTGTGGTTTGCACAGCTTGTCACAGAAACCACTCCATCAGAAGAACACAAATCCAATGCAAATCAGCAAACACAGGGAAAGTGATATACCTCCAGGCAAATCTAAGACTCCCTCTGATCCATGCTGTGGTAAATTCATATCTGAGAGCGCTGGCTTTAGTCTTCCATGACTTCCACTTGCCCAAGAAGTCATTTTTCACCCATTCAAAACTAAAAGTTAAAAAAGCTCTCTACAGCATCTGGAAAAACATGCTAAGCTCAGAGAAATTGGAAAGCCCTGATTTCTTTCCAGTAGCATTTGAGCCACGTTCCAGGCCAAACAAAAGCCTTCTGCCAAGGCATCCCCCACAGGACACGCCTCAGAACAATTTCCTAAAATAAATCAATATCCAGAAACACATTCTCCAGGAGAACAAAATCATATGCGGAATACTGACGTTTTACCCACAATTCACTGGACTCTTCTATAACTTTGTTCATTTATGTTCTTGGAGTCGGAATATCTTCTCAACACTCATCCCTCTGGAAAATTTAACCTTGTACTAACACCACTTACAAATTCAGAATAGAAGCAGGAAACATAAGACTAGTGATTATGTTCCTTTAAATACATTTTTTGGGTGTGTGTGAGTTCTTATGCACACGCTTGTATACTCTTATATGCATGCAAGTGTGTGGGCACATGTGTGCATGAGATTGTGGAAGCCAAAGGATGCCGTCAGGAGTCACTGCTGTTCAGACACTGTCCACCTTGTTCTCTAAGACAGGATCTTATGAGCACGGGCCCCATCAATCAGGGTTAGGTGCTGCTGGTCAGCCATCCCCTGGGATCCACCTGCCTCTGTCTGCACAGCATTGGGATTACAAGTTTACCACTTTACTATGCTATCCCCAGTCTTTAAACATACAGTTATTACAGACATATAATACATGATGGATTATCATAAGTGTATTAATATTTAGCATATGAATATGAACTTGCGAGGGAAACAGACAGACACACCTTCTGCCTTCTGCCAAAGGACAACCTGAGGTAGTATGCAAAACTGTGGGCTCCCAGTGATAACACTGTTCTTCCTCAGTGCCTCATCCTTCAAGCCAGTCTGGAGCAGGTGGAAATTCACCTCAAAGGACTTACAAGCAACCATAAAGAATAGCAATTCTGAAAAGCCAGGCGTGGGGGCACACGTTCTTAATACCACCACTCAGGAGGCAAAGGCAGGAGGATCTCTGAGTTCGAGGTCAGCCTGGTGTACAGAACAAGTTCCAGGACAGCCAGGACTACCCAGAAAAATCCTGTCTCTAAAAAAACAAAAAGAAAAACAATCAAACAAACAAACAAAAAGAATGACAATTCTGTCTCAACATCTATGCCAAAAACGCACACTGTATTACTTCTAAATGAAAACAAACAGCTACGGATTTGGGCTTCTGCCCAAATCGCAAATCTGCAGGAAAGAATTTCTGACCTGTGGTTCTCTCATTCTTAGAGTCTCCTGGGAAGCATAAACAACTCAGGCCTTCCTTCAGCTACAAAGAGAAATAAGATGACTACCCTGCTTCCTAAGGTGGAATGATTAGTTTCATATCCGAAACAGCATTACAAATCCAAAGGGCTGAATGGCTGACTGAGTGAATAAGAATGTATAATATTTTGTTAAAAACTGGAACTTATGAAAATTATAAGCTATATAACCATATACTACATACTTCACAGACATAATATCTTCATTAGAGCATCTACTATTGTCAACCAAACAGTCTGGTGTATGTGTGCACACACACAAACACACCTACACACACAAACATACATACATATATAAACAAACACGCAAGTACACATGGTTGGCAAAAAAAATTAAGTAAGAACCACAGATACACAAAGAGTAAAAACTCCTTATTTTGGTTTTGGTTTTAATTTTTGAGTATACACCGAGTCTAAGTACTGATGGGGACATTTAATTGTGGATCTGGGCAAATCTGAATAAGAACAAAATGAAAGATGGGGATCATATTTTAAACCACTTTCTTTTCTTTTTTCTAGTCCATCGCCTTAACCACTCGTTCACAACTACAGCTTCTTTTCTTTATGAACTCTCTGTCCATTCCTCATCCCCTCTAAGGACTTGGTGCTCTACTACCTGCCCCCACTCCAATCTGTTCCAAAGAATGAGAAATTCCCACAACAAAGAAGCTAAAAAACAATTCACAGGAAATGCTGTCCAGTCTTCATCCCTCTTAAGCCTTTTGCTTGTCTACAGAGAACAATCTAGACTTTTTTTTATTTAAGACTAACATTCTTTTACAGTCATTTCCAAGTCAGTAGTAATGAAGAATTCTGCTCTAAGCCAGCTACAGAAGGCTGAGGGAATGAAAACCACATCAAACTTGGGGCCCTTGGGGAAGCACCGAGCAGGAACCCACAAATGCATGCACTTGTGCTGAGTGGGCTGCTAAGCCAAGGTCAGTGGCAGGGAAAACCACATAACAAAGAGAGGCATCTGGTAAGGGCCTTCCCAGTCTAGTGTGACTTACAGCACTCCTTGTCCCTTGTCCTTCCTCCAGTTCCCTTCTTTGTGCTCAAATCAGCCCCTTCTTTGATTCTTTTATCTCCTCTAGTTTTGTTTTGTTGAGACACACATGTGCTATGTAACCCAACCTACATGAAGTAGAGATCTATCTTCATTAGCCCTCTGAATGCTAGAATCAACCATGCACCACCACTCCTAGCCTAGCAATCTATTATTAAATCCCCCACTTTTACTATCCTTAACATGGCGCTAAGGATTCTATTCTCTCCCTGCATGTTTCTGGGAAACTGATACCTCAGCTCTGTAAGATTGTCCATCGCCCCAAATCCCACTGTTAAAACCAGCTCTGTGACTTAGAGCCCGGCTCTTCAAAAGGCAGCTGGCATTCAACCGAGGCCAGGCCACACGCTAAATGTGTTCCATGAAAGCATCCTGTCTTGTCACTCTCCTCATCATGCAGGGCCACAGAATATCTTTTAACGTACCCACCTCTCGCTTTAGCAAATAACAAAATCCAGGGTTCAAATCCCGTCAGCCTGACTTCAGAGTCTATGCTCTTAACTATTCAGACTTTGCAAGTAAGCCTCTCATCTGTTAAAATACAGACTAGCTTAATGATTTCAAAGAAGTATTTCCCCATTTATTTGTGCTATCCCTTTCATGTCTCCACAGACTATCATCGTATCATTAGAATTTCCCTGGATTCCTTCTTGTCTACTTATTGCCAAACCCCATTTCTTTCCTTGGAACATTACACTTTCTCAGTGACTCACTGATACTCTGTCTCAAAGTCAGATTTCACAGACAGAAGGACCCTGAAAGCAAAAGGCATACTTGGAATATGGTATGAAAAACCTGAGAGTCAAGAAACAGACCTACCTATCTGTTATAGTATTTGCCTACAGTCTCAGCCCACAGAAAGGAGAGACACAGCAGGAGGATCGCCACAAATCTCAGCAAAAGGAACATGGCTCCTCTTGTCCAAGCTATCTCAACTCTGTCTGACTAAGAGCATTCACCTCCCCTCCCCTACTGACTCACTTCTTTGATTTAACAGTTTGGAGGAGCTTTTGGTAAAATGTTCCTCCCTACCCTCCCACTGCCACTTGCTTTCCTCCCCTCCCCCATAAAGACTGTGCTTGGGAAGCCCCCAGTCATCCTGAGGGTGTTGTCATCCTCCCAGAGGGTACCACTGCCAGGAGCTGCAGGTCTGGACCAGCTGCTGGGCCTACCTGGGCATAGGTCCCACTGCAGACCACTGCATTCCACTTAGTGACGTTGACACAGTTTGGATGGCGGATCAGGTAGTTGTCCATCCTTCCCACATAGGCATCCTTGTATCCTGTCACGGAGCCATCAATGTCATGGAAAATGGAGTTCTTATCGCCATCCAGCTCACAATCCTCAAACCAGGGGCCAGGCTTTCCAAAGAAGACATTCAGAGAAACCTGGAAGCAGAGGAAACCAAGAGCATCACACAAAGGAGGTTTCTGCCACAGAGTAGCAGGAGTCACAGATCACTGGCGTCATCAACCATGGTAGCCAGCTGATCTGACTTCGACAAAATGTCATGCATGAGTGAAAACATTTCTAAAGTCTTGTGAAGCTCCACTGGGAAGCATTAAACTGCAACTTCTTTTTTATTCTTTTTTCCCTGTCCTCTTAAATGATAAAGCTGGGAGAAGAGAAAGTGGAACCAGGATAATTACATAAAAACTACTATAAACTCCTCGTGTAGCTGGGCCTGGTGGCGAATGCCTTTATCCCAGCACTGGGGAAGGAGAGGCAAGTGAATCTCTGGGTGTTTGAGGTCAGTCTGATCTACAAATAGAGTACCAGGAAGGCCTATTAGTCAGTGAAATCCTGTCTAAAAAAACATAAACAAATAAATAAATAAACAAACTCCACATGTGAGATTTTGTGCAATCCCTGTAAACAAATTAAACCTGATTTAAATAAAGACATATTCCAAGTATGCCAATAATCGTTTGACTTCACTCCAAGTGACTCAGTTACTTATCCAGCAAAAATTCAGTGGAGTCCAAAACCGACACATGGTATTTGTGCTGGCTGAAGATGGCAAGGTATTGCTAAGCACACTAGAATTTGCTGGAAAACAGCTGCTGCTGCATCGATTCTGAGTGCAAAAGATGCCTGGCTCAGGAGTTACTTTAAAGCCTTCCGAGGAGGCTGGGGATGTAGCTCAGTTGGTGGAACCTTGCCAGAGTACTCAAGGCCCTGGTTCAAATCCCTAGCACAGCGGATGAAAAATAAGAAGAAATAAACTCTTTACTAAACACACAGTGTCCTGTGAGTGGACTGTGGGTGACACCATTTAGCTATTGCTTGTTAGGAGCAAACATTCTTCAGGGCACACAAAAGCACTTCTAAACACTTCTGTGCACTCCTAAATCAGGGATGCCTGTGTGTCAACTACACATGTAAATGATAAGCACCTCAATGGAAAACAACATTGCTTGGAGTCGGCTGGCTCTGGGTTCTTGGCTACTGTCTCCCTTTCTCTTGCATTCACAAACAGTTCCCACAGCATCCCCACCATAATGAGGATGCAATCGCTATGGATTCTCTTACTCTATGGCTTTGAAAACCCTATCTCAAGCCCTATTTTCAACCAGGCCACTCCACATTTTATGTGGACATGATAAAAGAATCGTAAGCTATGTCTGTAGGTCAGGGTACTAGAGGCTTAGTCTCTCTCATGACACTACGGACCAGGCCTGAGGTTCCAAGAAAATTGTCCTGTATATTGTGGGTAATTGCAAAACGGCTAAGAAAAATATTCTGGGGGCAACTACAACATAAATACAAATTCTAAGTCTTCTTTATCGTCTTCTGTCCTAACCCAATTTCTATTACACTGCCCAGTATGCCTCTTTATCCTAACTTTGTATCCCCCAGCTTCCTAAAAGCCACAGAAAAGTATCTCATTGGACATAGGTCTATTGTCCAGCTTACTACTCAATGTTCCAAAATCATAGCCATCTTCTTCCTGTGAAACTGGACAATCTCCTCATATCATCACTCTAAGTCATTATTGTGTTGGAGGCATCATCTCCTGTCAAAAACAGCCCAAGTCACATCAGACTTCTGTTTCCACCCTGAACTCAATGGGATCAAGTGTATGGGTTAGGGGTTGCAACTATAAACACATTTCTTCCTGTCATTGAGACTCAGTGCAAGTCCTTTGTTTAGACCTTGTCTTTGCGTATGTGTTCTTCCCCTCCCACACCACAGTGCCTGTGAAGGCGCCACGGGAATACACTTACCTGTGGACCAAACTTCACAAGGGAAACATTATTCCTGGGTGTGGTCTGCCAGGAATTCTTCATGAGGAAGCCAATTGCACTGCTGTACCTGTCTGGAGTTGGCACATACTTTTTGAAAGTGCTCCTTGTGAGATGAATAGGCCCATCATAAATCTGAAAGCCTCGAATTGGGAATGTCCTATTAAAATACAAGATATGTTTAATAAGTGTGGGCCAATCCCTTTCACAGCATTTATGCTTTATGAATACTGCTACGTATCCTGTAAGCACCAAATAAAAGTCCAAGACACAGTGGTAAGCAAGACACAAGCCATAATGGAGTGAAAAATACAATATCCTGGAAGAGACTAAAAAAATAAAAATAACTGCAGATAATTGGTGCTATGGAGACAATTAAGATACTGTAATACAAGAGACTTGGTGGGGAGAGACAAGCTGTTTTGGATACAACAGAGATCTCTCTAAAGAACTTCCCTAAACCAACTTACTGGTGATGCTTTGTTTAGAATGATGCAGTTGTAGAGTGACTGCCTAACATGGTCCTGGGTACCATACAAAAAAATGAGAAGGAAGAAGAAGGAGAGTGGATGTTTTATTTGATAACTGTATTTTTGTTCTAAAAGACAAGTCTGTGTGAGCAGAGAAAGCTTCCTGTGAAGCCACATAAAAGCGGGTGAGGATGTACAATCTAGGTCCTCAGACCTGGGCTGTCCGAGGGGCAAGAGTCATGTTTTCCATGTATCCTCCTTCCTCCTTTCTTATGCTTGTAATTCCTAACCAGAATTACTGTATGAAGTCAATGCTCTATTTGGTGACTTTATTATAATAAAGTGCTCTTATTTAAGGCATAATATTCTGAATTCTTAGGGCTTCTTCACCTATTAAAGTCATTACTAACAGTATTGCAGGGGATTTCTACAGCAGCTGGCCTGTACCTTGGCAGAGTTTGACAACAACAATGTTTAGACTAGCAAGGAAACCCAGCTGTCTGATTAAACTATACTTCATGCACTGACTCTGGGCACATAAATCAACATGACTTAACCCTCACAGACAAGACTATAAACACAGTCAAATAAAACCTGAATTCATTAATCCAGGAGCAAGTTTTTGAGCAAGTTTTTTGTTGTTTCTTTACACTTCCTGAGCAAAGATACAAAAAGAATTTTGAAATGAAACTAGAAGTCAGTGTAAAATAAAGACAGAAATAAGCTGGTCGGCATCACACTACAACCCATACCGCCAACAACCTGTATTTCTGTAAAACACACAGTTAGAAGGAAGTACAGCATAATCTTGTATCACACAATGCTGAAGCCAAGCTCCATGGGCTAAATCCCACCTCCATTACTTAACAAGCAGTCGTTTATAAAGCAGGAAGACGTGGTGTATATCTGCCTGTCTTTCATGGGGGTTAAATGAAGGTGAGAAGGTGAGCTATTTAGAAGAGGCCTTGACAAACATTTGATAAATGTTAACTACTGAAGATTATTGAAGTATGGCTGGGGATACATTTGGGTGTAGAGAGCACATTCCTCAAATGTATGAATCCTTGGGTTCCGTCTTCAGCCCCACAACATACAAAACACAAAGTTCTTTTTCTACTAGTATTCATGATCCAACAGGATTGCTACAGAGTGCACATTCACAAGGACAAGAGCCCAGACAGGATCCAGCACAGGACACCAGGAAAACTGACAGTTTGTCTGTCCCCCCTGCGTCATCCTGAGCCACACCCAGAGAGCATTCCCACAATGGCCTGATTCTCGGTGGGCCATAGCATCAGCTTGGAACTGGGGTCTTGAGAACATCACTAAGACTTTCCTCTACCTGAATTTCCCACATGTATAATGAAGACCACTCCAAAGTAAGCCTCAGACCTGGGTGCTGGGTTAAGGAGCTTGGAAGGGTGCTCTATTGCTATTAACTGCCTTAAGTACTCTGATTGTCAATATGATAATTCCTCAGAAAACTGGGAATGGATCTATCTCAAGACCCAGCTATACCACTCTTGCCATATACCCAAGGGACACTCCATTCTTCCACAAGGACACTTGCTCAACTATGTTCGTTGTGACTTTATTCATAATAGACAGAAACTGGAAACAACCAGATGCCCCTCAACCAAAGAATGGCTAAAGAAAATGCAGTACATTTACACAATGGAGTTTGTGTAACTCAGAGGATTAAAAAAAATGACCTCATGAAATTTTCGGGCAAATGGATACAACTAGAAAAGAAAAAGAAAATCCTGAGTGACATAACTCAGGCCCAGAAAGACAACCATGATACGGTAATGTACTCATTAGTAAGTGAATAATGAATAATCACTGTTAAGCAAATGATAATCGAGCTACAACCCATGAACCCAGACAAGTCAGGGAGAGAGGAGGGCTATGGAAGGAGGGAAATAGACTAGATTTTGAGGGTAATTGGAGGCAGGTAAGAACCAGATGAAAGGGATGGGGGGAACAAGGAATGGAGGGAGAGAGTGTGGGGAGAGACAGCTGGAATTGGAGGTCCTTGGGAGGTGGTGTGGAAAGCTAGTGCAGTGAAAACTTCCTGGAATCTCTCAGGGTTATCCCAGTTGGGATTCCTAGTAATGTTGGATACAGAGTCTGAACTTGCCATCTTTTACAACTAGGCAAGGCTTCCAGTGGGGGAGTGGATCTGGGGGACACAGGAGTGTGGGGGAGCTAGGAGTGGAGGGAGGGGAAACTGTAGTTGGGGTGTATTGTATGAGAGAAGACCCTATTTTCAATTTTAAAAAGTTCACCGAGAGAGAGAGAGAGAGAGAGAGAGAGAGAGAGAGAGAGAGAGAGAGAGAGAGAGAGAGAGAGAGAGAGAGAGAGAGAGAGAGAGAGAGAGAGAGAGGAGAGAGAGAGAGAGAGAGAGAGGAGAGAGAGAGGGAGAGAGAGAGAGAGAGAGAGAGAGAGAGAGAGAGAGAGAGAGAGAGAGAGAGAGAGAGAGAGAGAGAGAGAGAGAGAGAGAGAGAGGGCTCTGACTGCAATGGCAGAAAACCTGCCCCATTCTGCCCCTACCGCATCACCATCTCAAGCACATCTTAATTACATGGCCTCGGCTGGGTTCTGAGTTGGCTTTGGCATCCTCCAACTTTCATTTTCTGGGGCTCTTTTCAGAGGTAATTTCCCTTTTTCAGTGGCTATTTCTGAAAAACCAGCATCATGAATTGCAGGGAAACTGACCTAATGTCATAGTTTATGGCTTGGCAACTTCTAAGTCTCAAGAAAGAAAAAAACATCAAGAGAAAGAAAAATGTCCTTATATAAGGTCTTATGTAAGGGATAAAAACAAGAACAGCTCCTTAATAAAACTGATAATAAAACCTATGACATGGATAATTATTAATGCTCTAAAATTCCATGAGGATAACAGACAACAGAAGTACTGTTAATAAGACAGGAAAAGAGCCAAAGTAAGGCAATCTATCCAAGTTTATTACAGGAAAAGACTGTCCCACTGTTAAATTCTCCATTGCCAAAGTCCAACTCACCTGTTCCTGGGTAGTGTACGAGGCTTCTGGTCTATTCCTCCTGTACCCATATACTTGTTCTGGCCACCTTGAAATCCATAATTCCTACTCTCACCAACAAAGAGGGATTCCGACACCTCCTGGCTCGAACCTTCATCACTTGGGAAGCTCCCATCACTGGAGAAATTAGACAGTACTTAGAAACATCCTTGGGGAAGTTTAAGCTGCCTCCCAAAACAAGTCAAGCTATCATTTAAAAAGCTAAAAAATAAAAACTTAATCTAATACCTTTTTCTAATGTATATTATAAAACCCTCAGAAATTGTCTTTATACTATAAAAATTCCTTTTATCAATGTTAGTTATTTGAAAATTACATATAAACACATGAAGTCTTAGGCTAGAGGAGCAGGGTCCCCAGCACTGTGAAAAACACACACAAAAGCCCACACAAGAGACCCATGTACACACACACACACACACACACACACACACACACACACACACACACGTGCGCGTGTGCCCGCACACGAAAAGCAAATTCTCAAAATCTTATTTCTAAGTTAAAACAATAAAGTTATGTTTTTTAATCTTCACCCTGTTTGTCTTCCTCTTTCATCCTCTATTTTTAAGGAATTTTAGTCTAAAGTTCAAGTGTTTTTTTATAAGCACAGTTAACAACTACTCTACCATCCTGTGGAATTTCAGCGCAATTGCCATTAGTATTATTGTCTGTTATCCTCATGGAATTTTAGAGCATAAATGCAATTAGTCTACTTAAAAGAAAAAAATGTGGGTTTTTTGGCCCTCTAGTGGTACCAAGAAGAGAGTGATCATTTTATTTTCTTTTTTATACTAAGAAATTATGAAACAAACTCCACACCCTCATGCCAAAACATACAAAAATGATTTTTACTTACAGCTTTGAAATAATCAAATGTTTTAAAGCATTACAAACCTGGCAAATGTCAATCCCTTTCCATTATCTGCAAATCTGTAAGAGAAAGATGAGGGTACATGTAAGTCATCAGGAAATGTGGAAGTGTCAACTCCCTCGGGGTAGACCTTGAAAACCCACAGTCCTGATGCTCACTCTGCAGCCACACAGAGTTTAACCTCCTAGTCACCACAGTGTCAATTCCAAGGGAAGGGTGTCAGGTTCAAATCCAGACTCTGCCAACTGTAACTTGTTTCTCAACCCCTTCCCCTCAGTTTTTTTCATAGATAGTTTAAAATAATAATCTGATCTTTCTCATAAGATTCTTGAGAGAAATAAATATACTAAATCATTTCAAGTATTTGAGTAGTGTCTGAAACATAATAAGCACCATATAAAGGTATTAGCTAAACCATCTGTTTTTAATCATTTTTCTTTAGAAAGAATTATATCATGCCATTTGCTTTAAATTTTTTCAGTCTGAGACATAAGCCATCCCTACAGGTTAATACAGTATTAAGTTTGGGAGTGAAAATAGTCAGAGATGGCGGAGAAAAGCCAAGAAACTAACCGTCAGTGGGAGAAAGAAAACCAAAACTCTTTCTAGACCAACTTAATTCACTATGCACAAGAGCGGCTCTTAAAATCACTCAATTGGAAAAATAAATCATGCAACTGGAAAAAAACAACAACAAAACAAATAAACAAACAAACAAAAACCAAGTAAGGCACTTCCTGCCAACAGTAAGACATAAGTCAACAGGCATATTAAAAGAAAACTTTCATTTTGAGAGGCATGGCAAAATCAGACAAACTTTAAAGAGTTTCCAAAAACAACACAATAAAATTAAAAACCCCAGGTAGTATCAAAATTTTTGTTTAGCTCTTCGACATAAATTGTGTTTGCTACAGAAAGCTAAATTCCGGGTTTCTGGTCAACCCACTGAAGCCTTCTCATGTCACCAGACAAGTGCAATTCCCACAAAAACTCCAGAATGAGGATTCAGAAAATCTGCAGTCTGTGAACTGTAGCATGCATCCTCAGAGCTCATCCTGTGCATCAATAATATTAATAATTAATTAATAATAAAAGTATCTCAGAAACTATGGCTGTGCCTTCATTCTGCTCAGTTTAAAAAACAAAAACCAACCGGCTATGTGGCACTCACTTCTAAGAGTACTTGGAAGGAAGGTGGAGATAGAAAGACCAGGACTTCAAAGTCATTGCTATACAGTGAGTTCAAGGCCAGTCTAGGCTACCTGAGGCCCTGTCATCAAAAAATAAAAATAAAAAACTAAATGTAACCAGCAGTGTCAGCAGATGTTATCTCTGTAGACAATACTCACGCTGAGTTCTGAACAATAATGTCTCCTCCTCTGACCCAGGCACCGTTATCATTGTTTTTAAAAGCAATTAGCCTGTCAATGACAGCAGCAACACGTGGCTTGTCAGGGTCTGCATCCTGATGAGGCCGGAACCTGTGGGGTGAAAAAGTGAAGTGAGTAAAGGAAACAGAAGCTGTCTATGTGTATACATGCTATGGGGTCAAGGGGCAGGGTTTCAACTGGGCCAAAATAAGCAAATAAAAAAAATAATAAAGTTAAGATACAACTTAATTCTTTATAGTTCAAATACTCAAAACAATTACATTTATTTACACGTAAGTTTCCAGAAAAAATGCATTCATGTATTCTTTGTTTGTTTGTTTGTTTGCTTTTCGAGACAGGGTTTCTATGTGTAACAGCTCTGATTTTCCTAGAACTCACTTTGTAGACCAGGTGTCCTTGAACTCACTGAGATCTGCATGCCTCTGCCTTCCAAGTTCTGGGATTATAGGCATATGCTACCACTGCCTGAAGCTATCATGTATCCTTTAAAGATTGATGTATAAAAGGCCTCTGAAAACACATGCATACAGAAAGACAGCCATATGCAGACCAAGCACTCCAGTGTAGCGTCACAAAATTTTACATGTTACTAACATGTGCTCACTGGAAAAAAATTAATCATATATTTCAACATAATATATATAAATTATTTTATTAAATTGTATGCTGTTTAGATGTCTTTAGCTAGAGGGACAAATGTAAATTCAGTAGTTATCTTGGAAATGCCTAAACCTAAAAGACTAACTGAATTTTTTTATTACAAAGACTGCACTTATTTCCTTCACTCAATAACATTTACAAGGACTTTAACGAAAAAGTGAAAAACTGGTCATATAATAACTCAATTCCATAATGCCTACCACTTTACAAAGATAGGAGGAATAATTTAAAAAACTGTTTGTTTCAAAAATCAATTCACTGCACTGTTTCCAATCACACAGGAAGGAGACTTTACATGATGCTGCTACTGTATCTGTAGGCCCATGGTAGGTGCTCAAAAATGGCAACGAGCGAAGCATCTTTGTGGAAGGAGAACCCAGCACAGGTCTCAGGCATAAGAGCTCCTCATACTACACCAACCACTGTTCTCTATGCCAAGTAAGTCATTGGGGAAGAAGCAATGAGGTGGGAAAGAGGGAAAGAGAAAGTCAGATCCCCTGGAGCTGGAATAACGGGTCCTCTCCAAGAGCAGCACACACGCTAAACCACTAAGCATCTCTCCAGCCCCTTGATTGTTAATACTGATGATAACTTGATAGAATTCACAATCATTATAGAAATACATATCTAGCCATGTCTGTGATGAATTATATAGACTGGGCCAACTGAAGTAGGATAATCCACCCTAAATGCCAGTGGTAGTCACAACAATAACAAAAGTAACTAGTATAATGGCCTCCCTTGATTTAAATGTGTTAATTAGTTAGAATGCACTAATCGGTTATAATGCCTCACCCCACCCCTTTCAAAAAGTTCTTTATGAAATTCTCCAATTTCAAACAAAGTGTTCTTAAGAGTTCCCCATCTCTGAATTCCTACCATGTCACATCTTGAAGACATGGAGAGAGACTCAGTTGATAAGTAAACGAGTCAGTTTCCTCTCTAAGGGACAGACTGAACATATCTGCTGGATCCTGCAATCATGGTGTTTAATTTATAGCCTGATTTATTACTCATTTGTGTTGTCATTTTTACTCATGTCTGGGCTGCAAGACCACATGTGGGCACAGTCTACACATCAGTTTACACAAAACTAAATGTATGCCAGCTGACAAGAATCTTGTCATTCTTCTGTAATTAGTTCTTTCCAGAACTCCTTACCAATATGTATGCATTTGAGAACTAGTAAGAAAACTCATGGAGTGCAGAGGAGCCATTACCACTCTCCCAGTCTGCTCATGTCCATCTAGCAAAGACCTTCTGAAGCCATAATGGGTAGCCTCGCTGCAATGTCAACAGCTTCTTAAATATATCCACTCCTTGATTCATGCACATACATATAAGCAAACACATACAAAGTACATTATGTGCCTCTGCACACACGCACACAGTGTGAGGGAACAAATACATGTGGAGACCAGACGCTCCTATCTGCTGGCTTCCTAGCTCACTCTTCCCATTCTTTTTGAGACAGGGTCTCTCAGTGGGTGGGTTCTTCATGACTCAGCAGGTCTCCAGGGTTCCTCTTATCTCTGCCTGGCAATCAGGAAAATGCCCCACAGACAACCCAGCAGGCCAGTCTGATCGAGGAAATTCCTCAATTGAAGAAACTTCTTCCCAGTAACTCTATTTTATATCAAGCCTGGCTTTTATGTGGGTGCCGGAGATTGAATTAGCATCTCATACTCGGGAAGCAAGCACTGAGCCAGCCGAGCCTTCTCCCTGCAGCCACGGATAAATTCTTTCAAGGCAGGAAAAGGAGCCAATTGGTTAACCGTTTTCTGGCAGTAACAATTTGACGAAGCACACCTCACTAAAACTACCAATTCTAAATGACTTTTCAAAAGCATATGTGGCCAGGTTTGCTGGCTCCTTCCTATAATGCTAACACCTGGGATGCAGAGGCAGGCAAGTCCCTGTGAGTTCTAGACCAGACAGAATTCCACAATGAAACTGTCTCAGACACACACAGGAAAAACAAACAAACAAAACAAAGCAGGGGCAACTTTCCATAGTAACATCATTATTCTTTTGGCTTTGCCAATATGTTGATTAGTTTTTATTGTCAACTTAATGTAAAATAGAGCTACCTGGGAAGAAGTCTCCTCAATTGAGGAATTTCCTAGATCAGACTGGCCTGTTAGGCTGTCTGTGGGGCATTTTCCTGCTTGTTACATGATGTGGGAGGGTCCAGCCCACTGTGGGTGGCACTACCCCTAGGCATGTGGGCCTGGGCCTGTAAGAGGCTGTATAAAAAAGCAAGCTAAGTAAGCAACAGCATTCCTCGAGGGTCTCTGTTTCAAGTTCCTGCCTTGAGTTCCTGCCACTTTCCCTCTCAACATGGACTATAACCTGTAAGTGGAAAAAAACCCACTCCTCCTCAAGTTGCTTTTGGTCATGGTTGTTTTTTTATTTTTTATTTTGATTTTTCAAAACAGGATTTTACGGTGTTTTCTTAGCCATCCTGGAACTCACTCTGTAGCCCAGGCTGGCCTCCAACTCACAGAGATCTACCTGCCACTACCTCACGAGTGCTGGGGTTAAAGGCATGAGCTACCATCTCACAGCTTGATCATGGTGTTTTTATCACAGAACAGAAAGCAAACTAGGGCAGCCAGTATTTTTTTAGTTCATAATTTTATTCTCATCTGTTTGCTCCTTTTTCTTTAGTTCTTCTCCATGCTTCCTATTTCAGGTTGATCATCCAGCAAGGTGCACTGTACCTTGTGTTTTATTTACTTAGTGCTCACCCTGGGGCCTTCTTAAATGTTCCCTGGTCACTGCTCTCCAAGGTTTCAAGCTTAGCTTGACCTTGAGGGACCCTGATAGGTGATTCACCACATGCACTTTCCCCAGTTTTCTCCTGACCTCACATCTGAGTAACGGACGGCAAGCGCCCTGCCTTACACATTAAGTCACATTCATCAACCTCCAGTGTGCTTCCTGCTTCATTCTCTTAACAACTGAGACAGTCATTATTCTTTCAAATGTCTAGCAAAAGCCTTTGCAATCTATCACCCATTCAACCTCATAATCTGCTCAATAAACTTCAGGTATTAAAAAAAGAAAGTATGTTCATGGTTTCTACTGCATATGGCTTCAGGTTGCCATGTTATCCAGAACACTTTATTTCCATCTGAGATGTTCTGTTGACTTTGGCTGGCACACAGCACATGAGAGAGCCTGCTGCAACACTGACCCACATCCCAAACACATTATGTGGTTACACGGGAGAGTAACACAGCCTGCCAAGAGGTGAACCTGAGGCTACCAGCAAAAACCAGAGCCAGCTTGATCATCACATCTGGGATCATTCCCTTGAAATAAATCCAATGCAATGTTCCCTTTGACCACTAACCATGAATTCTAGATGGTTGGGGTTTGGGGGGCTGGCTTGTTTTTCAGTGACTCGGTCTTGTTCCCAATTGGAAACCTTTGTTAACCTCTCTTCTGTTTCTATTTCTGCCTGTAACTCCCTCCAACATCAATCTCCACCATGACAAAGGAGAAAGGCATCAACTTGCTTGGCATTTTGTTAAGATAAATAAATGCCTGTGCTCAGGACCGAGACAACAGAGCATCTTTCCAAAACTCTTACATGAGCTTTTAAAGCTTCATCTCTGCATGCAGCCATCAGAAAGAACACCTCGTACTTGAATCGGAACATTCTGTCCTGAGATGATAAGTCTGGATGTAAATTGAAAAGGCTGCCCTACCTTGCACTGTTATCCAAGCACAGGTATTCCCTTGGGTCGGCAGCACTGGAGTTGGTTGTTTTGACACCTTTGTCTACAAATAAACCAGCCTGAAATACACAACAATGAGCTAAAATGAACATAGACTCTAAGGTACATCCACATGCATAATGAGGTGTGAAAATACTCTCAGCTTATCATTTCACCTGAAACTGGGAGTGGGGGCCGTGACTCTCAAAGCGAAGGGGCTGTGAAAAGCAACTGTTTTCCTGGATATTGCTAGCTTATTTGTTTGGTCATTCAACAGACACTTACCTATTGTACACTTAATGGTTTCTATGTTAATTAGCAAGTAAAATATATTCCCTGCTGTTACTGATACAAAAACTGTCAAGGGGGCATGCAATTAAAGAAACAGCTGTGGCCAAATACTAAAAGCATGGGGACAAGGAAACAGGAGATACTAGTGGCAAAAAAGCACGGAGACGAAGCTTCCTGGAGGCAGGGAGAGGACTCCAGACATGTCTCCTACATGATGCTGAAATCCTCAAGATGGGGAGGAAATGACTGAGCAGAAGAATGGGCTGGGGGTGAGCACAAAGCAGCTGGAGGTCCCAGAGGAAGGCACTCACAAAAATGTCTAGAGAGAAGAGACGGCGTGGAGGATCAGAGAACAAGTCCTAGATAGAGCAGACAAACAGGAACAAGGGAAGGGAGAGAAGAGACGAGCACACGTCGGGCCACGTACACACACACTTACTAAACCTGCTGATTTAATTCTCTTACAACTAATTAAATAAGTATGCACTGTCATGGCATATGATACCAAGAAATAATTAGAGACAGTTTTCGTATCATAAACATAATTTTTAAAAATGGTATGCTAAAGATGTAAGGCAATGGGAGACCTATCAAAAGCAATACTACAAACAAGAAAATATACTGCAACTAAAGATGGGTTAAAGGGGGCAGAAGGGAAGACATCGGACATGAGCTAGGAGACACTGTCAGTCATTCAGGAGGAAAATCAAATGACCTGTATTTGTGGCAAGGTGAGTATGACGGCATGGTAGAATTGATGAAATATGTGGGGCCAAGAAGGGAAGCTTAGGGTTTTTGGTTTTTGGTTTTTTTGTTTGTTTGTTTGGTTTGTTTCGTTTTGTTTTGTTGTTTTTGATTAGATCAAACATGGGATTAAATAGTTATTTAATTCACTGAAATAGAGAAATAGGGCAAGCATAAAAAAGAAGGATTCCATATTGAATGTGTTTCTAATGTGTCCATAAAACATTGAAGTGTAACCCAGTAAACAGCCACATAAACACAGCTGACTGGATCTAGGGAAAGGTTCAAGAAGCCTCAATAAGTAAAGCCACAGGGGCTTGTCAAAGTGTACTCATTCGTGACGAGTGATCCCAACATTGCAAGTTTCTTTCCAGGACTCCAAAGATTCAATTCCTTCAGGTATAAAATATTCTGCATAATCATTCCCAAGTTTAACAAATTAAAACCTAATTATACACTCAGGTTTAATACTCTTATAATTAACAAGTGCATATTGTCATGTCATATGACACTAAGAATTTATGAGACATAGCTTTCATATCACAAATGTAATTTTTTAAAAATTAATGACTTTTCCCTTTGAGATGTTACTTTCTAAATATTAGCCTTAGTCAGTTTCCCATCTCACAGCAAACACAGCAGTTTTTTCTTCTCTCAGCTCTTCAAGTGATCCAAAGCTTCTCCTAATACTTAGATTTGGGTATTTGGGTATTGTATGTACACATGTGTGTGGGGGGGGGGTATGAACCTGTGTGCACCTGTATGGAAATCAGAGAAGAGTATCAGGTCTATCTCTCCTCAGCTTATTGATTTGATACAGGATCTCTTGCTGAACCTGGAACTAGGCTGGTAGCCAGCAAGCCCCAGCCATCCTCTTATCCCTGCTTGCAACAGCTCTGGGTTACAGGTGTACACGGCCACATCCAGCTCTTTGACAGGTGCTCAGATCCTAACTCAGGTCCCCATGCTGGCACAATAAGGATCTTCCCTACTAAACCATTTCTCTAACCCCAACATGGAAGTGTTCACTGAACTGTGATATGAGTCATATCACAGCAAAAGATCTAAGGACTTCATATACAATAAAAAAGATTAAAGTGACTTGTGAGCAGGAAATGAGTCAACGATATTCATCATGATGAAAGGGAGGGGTGAATGACAAACACCAGAGAAACTGGAGTTTCTGAACGACCTTTAGGTGACTTAAACTAAGTGTGATGTTCTTAAATGGTATTTCGCCATTTAAATACTTAGTAGTAGTAAGTGGCCAAAAGGCACTCAAGGAGCACTGTGGAGAGAATCAGAGAAGCAAAGCTAGGGTCTCAAGCCCCAGACATGTAACCACTAATGTGTATGATCCTAGAAACCTGACACTTAGGACAGGAAGGTGAGAAAGAAGGAAGGAGGGCAGGCAGGTGGGCGGAAAGCAAGGGACAAGAGACAAAAGGACTCCTCAGCAAGTCTATGATAGAGTCACACAGATCGCACATGCAAATGTATGCTGTGTCTTGGGATTTTGCAACTAGAGACGAGCCCTTAACAGATGCTGGCCCAAATTAAGAGTCCCAGCCACCAGACCCCTGAGCCAAGTGAACATCTGCTCATCATCAATTACTGTATCTGTGTCACTCTGTCACAGCAGGAAGGCCCAGTCGCTGCAGTGAATATACCCTGTGCATAATACATACTTCAAAAGTTAGGAGCCTACCTTAAAATTTGAATGAACCCTGTTGTTATAAAATATTCCCAGTGGAGTGAGTTCCGGTTTCTCCAGGAGCTGCATTCCACTGGATTCCCCAGTGGGTTCTTTGTGGAATAAATACCATATCCCAGCATCCTATAAATGAAAGGGAAAGGTCATTAAAGACACTATTTTTACATTGTTTAAAATGTATAAAATAACGGGTTTCATTATGACATTTTCATATGCATGGATCAATACACCTCACTCATATTCACCCCATCCACGTCTGGCCCCCCTCCAAGCTCTCTCTCTCTTCCCTGTTTTCCCCCACAAACAGTTCCCTCTACTTGGGATATGATATACACACAAATGCACACACACACATGTGTAAGGAGAGATTTTACATATCCATAGCACTAACCACTCCCATGTGGTTGTGTTCACGGGTACGATCATGACCCCAGAGATTCATAGCAATATCTGCGACATAAGGCCTCAATCTTCCTCTTTGTCCTTCAGGCCCTATACACTCCACCCATCTCGTGCTCTGTTTTACCTGAGATAGGGTTCCAGTCCCTAACAACTGAACATTTACTTCTTGTAAGGGCCAACTGGAGGGCCAAGATTTTTGAGTTATGATGGTGACACATATGTACAATCCAGATTCTCTCTATGAAGAAAATGTGTGGTATTTATCTTTCCTCCTTGCTTCCCTTCCTTGTCCCCCTTGTCCCCCCTTCCCTCATCTCATTATAGACTCCCTTCTCCTGACCCCTCCTTTAATGTCACATATACAAATATTTGTATTATAGCAAGATTCTGAATAAGAGAGAAAATATACAATATTGTCTTTTCATGCATATAAAGCCTCGGTTTTTCTAAAGCCACCATGTGAAATGCCCTCATAAAACACCCTGTAACAAATGTTTTCCATTGTTTTAAGTTCCAAATTGTGTGCAAAAAGTTGCCCACATTATACAGCATTCCCCCCCCCCCGCAAACAGTTATATCTGGTTATTTTTCAGAGCAAATACAATTTTGCTTGCAGGATTGGACAAAAGACATAGTTGGCAAATACCCAAATCCAGCTTTCCCATGATTGTATGTCTAAAATGGTATGCAGATGGAGAGCCCTGCCTGCCTTCTGCATGACCAGGACAACACAGCCTTTAAGCAATGTGGTTTCTCGTGTTTACCTCCAAACCTGATCAATAGATGAGTCATGCCTATTAAACAACTGTCTGCTGGCAGACAGAGCTCACTGGCTTCTTTCAAACAACTCCAATGCCCTTCCTGTTCTCAGGCAAGTTTGTGCCAGCGTGGGGGAGAAAACGCCACATGTATGAATCAGGGTGCTGTCTCTCAGTGTGGACCCTGTCTGTTTTACTGGAGGACTACTGGCCCTAACAGTAGAACAGCTTAAAAGTTTCTGACAGAAAGTGAAACATGGAAACAGAAATCAAAGTTCTTATTAACTCTATTCCCACCTTTTCTATTTTAGGAATGAATTAATAATTAACCCAAACTGAAGGATAAATTCACACTATGGAACGTTGATAAAGCAGCTTTTCAAAACTTAAACATATAGCATAAAAAAGATATTGGTTCAAATTCAGCATGTATTTATTTAGTGTTCACTACATGCTTATCTGTAGTACAACTACTTTCAAGTAATTCACAATCTAATAGAGGAAAAAAGATAATTAAAATATGACATATGTAGTATCCTGTTAGTTGGAGGAGTGTGGAGAGTTTACAAACCTACATACCCAAATGACTGTAATGTCAACATTTTTCCATGATCAAAGTTGACAAATGGGTCTTAAGAAAACCAACTATTCTGTAAAAACCGTTGGCCACCTCAACATATTGGATGCATTTCAGACAGGAGAAGAAAACATAACGGGGCTGGAGAAAAGGCTTGGGACCACACCCCTGCAAGCAGAGGGCAAAGCCAGCCCTCCCAAGATGCCATGGACTTGGGGGACAGGGACTGCACAGGCATACAGCAGCTGCTTGCTGCTAGGCACTGTCATGTCTAAACAGGTGACAGCAGCTTTCAAAAGGCAATGGGTCAGTGTAATGAAAGAGTTTTGCCCACTTTGGGAGAAGAAGGCCCTGGCAAATGCTATCTTTACTGAAGCATTTTTTCCAGAGAGAAAAGAAAAAAATCAGGAATGACCGGAAAAACATGCCTGAGACACGGCCCAAGATCGGGAGGCATTTCACTGCCTTGCCCAAGGCTTTTCTGAGCTATTTGCAATGGCTCTCCTCTGCAGTCCTAGCTTCTGGCAGAGCTAAGAGGAAGCAGAGCTCTGACTGCTGACTTAAAGCAGGCACGGGTGCAGGCTTGCCTCTCTACCCTAACTTTCCAGTAAGAAGTGCTGAGCACAAACCCACACAGGTGCCTCAGATACTCGATGGAGAATGAATGAATGGAAATATGACATCATCAAATGTCCAGTGTCTGCCCGGTCAAAAGACAGTCCTCAAATGTCAGAGTCCTTCAAGTTACATTTCATGTTTTAAGAGTAATCTCAGACACAGGCTCATCGGTTACACCTCGATGCCTCCACCCCGGTTTGCTCAAGGAAACACTCTCTTCAGCTCCCCTCTTACACACAACTCAGAAATGATGGCCCACATTCTGTCCTTTATAACATGTTGAACAACTGTGATGTGTACATATGGAAATTTACATGATACTGGATGTTCACACACCTACACTGTAATTTTCAGCCCAGTTACAGTCTTGATAGTTTCATTAAAAGTTCATCTATATTAGTCAGTAATTTTGAACTACACTCAACTATGAGGATAAATTACCCCATGTTTATCCATGGGACAATTTCTACCATTTAAAAATAATGTTTTTTTTCTCTTAGAAATTGTTCTCTTCCTGTGACTGGGTAACCTTACTCAGGATGGTTTCTCCCAGTTCCATCCATTTGCCTGCAAATTTCAAGATTTTAATGTTTTTTTCCCACTGAGTAATACTCCATTGTGTAAATGTACCACATTTTCTTCATACATTCTTCGGTTGAGGAGCATCTCGGTTGCTTCCAGGTTCTGGCTATTATAAACAATGCTGCTTATGAACATAGTTGAACATATGTCCTTGTTGTATGAACGTGCATTGTTTGGGTATATTCCCAAGAGTGGAATTGCTGGATCTTGTGGTAGACTAATTGCCATTTTCCTGAGAAACCGCCATACTGATTTCCAAAGTGGCCACACAAGTTTGCACTCCCACCAGCAATGTAGGAGTGTTCCCCTTTCTCCACATCCTCTCCAGCATAGACTATCATTGATGTTTTTGATTGCAACCATTCTGGCCAGTGTAAGATGGTATCTCAGAGTTGTTTTCATTTGCATTCCCCCGATTACTAAGGATGTTGAGCACTATCTTATGTATCTTTCAGTAATTTCACATTTCACTATTGAGAATTCTCTATTTCTGTGCCCCACTTTTTAATTGGATTGTTTGGTGTTTTGGTCACTAGCTTCTTGAGTTCTTTTTGTATATTTTGGAAATCAGCCCTCGGTTAGATGTGGGGTTGGTGAAGATCTTTTCCCAATCTGTGGGCTGCAGTTTTGACTTGTTGACTGTGTCCTTTGCCTTACAGAAGCTTCTCAATTTCAGGAGATCCCATTTATTAATTGTCGATCTCAGTGTCTGTGCTAGTGGAGTTATATTCATGAAGTAATCTCCTGTACCAATTCATTCGAGGGTACCTCCCACTTTCTCTTCTAAGAGGTTCAGTGTGGCTGGATTGATGTTGAGGTCTTTGATCCATTTGGACTTAAGTTTTATGCATGGTGATAGATAAGGATCTACATGTCAGCATCCAGTTATGCCAGCACCATTTGTTGAAGACACTTTTTTTTCCATTGTGTAGTTTTAGCTTCTTTGTCAAAAATCAGGTGTTCGTAAGTGTGTGTGTTAATATACGAATCTTCAATTCAATTCCATTGATCTACCTGTCTATTTTTGTGCCAATACCAAGCATGGTATGTACTTACTCATATATAGATATTAGACATAGAGCAAAGGACTACAAGCCTACAATCGACACCACCAGAGAAACTAGGAAACAAGGAGGACCCTAAGAGAGAAATACATGGTCCCCTGAAGAAGGAAAAAGGGATAAGAACTCCAGAGCAAATTGGGAGCACGGGTGAGGGGGTGGGGGGATGGGGGATGGGGTGGTAGAGGAAAAAGAGAAGGGGAGAAGAGGAGCAGGGAGGAGAACAAGAGGGATCAGGAAGTCTGAGTCAGGGGAGAAACAGAGAGCAAGAAAAGCAATATCTTACTAGAGGGAACCAGAATAGGTCTAAAGACAAATCTGGTACTAGGGAAATGTTCAGAGATCCACAAAGACAACCCCAACTAAGAACCTAGGCAGTAGTGGAGAGGCCACCTTTGATCCCTTCCCCTATAATGAGATTGATGACTACCTTAATTGCCATCCTAGAGCCTTCATCCAGTAGCTGATGGAAGTAGAAGCAGGCACCCACAGTTAAGCACTGAGCCATACCCCTGGAATCCAGTTGTGGAGAGGGAGAAGGGAGGAGCAAAGCAGTCAAGACAGTATTGGAGAAAACTACAGAAACAGCTGACCTGATCTAGTGAGAGCACAGCAACCCCAGTCATAAAGCTAGGGAACCAACATTGAATCGAATCAAGTCCTCTGAATGTGGGTTCTAGTTAGGAAGCCCAGGCATCCTATGGGACCTCTAACAGTAGAACCAGTATTTATCCCTAGTGCACAAATGGACTTTGAGAGCCCATTCCCATACTACCTGATAATATTTCAGCCCACATACACAGAGAAGGGCCTAGCCCCCCCCAAATGATGTGACAGACTTTGATGATCCCCCATGGAAGGCCTCACTATCCTTGGGGAGTGGGTGGGGGGGACGAGTTAAGGGGGAGAGTAGGGGGCATGAGGGGATGAAAGGGAGAGGGAAGGGGGGGTTGATATGTAAAATAAGATTGTTTCGAAAGACAGAAAGAGAGAGAGACGGAGGAAGGGAGGATGGAAGGAAGGAAGGAAGGAAGGGAAGGAAGGAAGGAAGAAATTGTTCTCTTGTGTGTATATGTGCCTATTTGTCTGACTTAAACAAATTGTAGCTGAGGTTTCAGCTGCCTTATCAAGATGTCCGTAAATGTAACTAACCCCTGTACTTACCAAAAAGATGTGTTCCTTGGCCAGAATGACACATTATTATTCTACACACTGACTCATTCCCCTAAGGACATGGAAAAGCTTTCTTTTTTCATAAGCACTAGAGTTGGAAACCAGAAAGATCACATATAGTGCACTACCAATCCATCGTGGAGAGGCTACACTCCTGAAGAACAGCTCACCTCTGCTCTTTCATTTGTCACCTTCTCTAGACAGAAGCTCCTAACTGGCAAGGATTTAGAAAATTAAAGAACAACCTCAGTTAGCTCACTCTCAATTAGACAAACAGGACCAGAAAACAGTATCATGATTTTCATCACAAAGGCCCCACCCATACAAGCCAGAACAGTCACAAGGATGAAGACACCCAAAAAAGTGTCATTTACCTGGGAGCCTGCAGCTGCATTATTGATCAGATGGTTGTTGGGATGGGCAATCCAGAAAGTTGAAACAGCCCTGCAAGGCATTGTTGACAGTGATTGAAACATTCTTCACAAAAACCCTATCCACTAAAATTTCCCCAGTAACAGCTTCCCCAAAAGTCAAAGGCCTTGACCACCACACAACTCCCAGTCCACTAATTACTCACATACAGTCTGTGGTAGGCACAGGAACGTAGTTTCCAAACACCCCGTCACGCATGATGGTACACATGGAACTGTTCCTGTCCGTGGGGAGGAGAGTTCCTGGCTTGGTAAGAAGCCCCAGGTTGTGAAACAAAATATTTCTCTGTTCAACACCATCTTCCAAAAAGAAGCAATGACCTAGTGCATCGAATCCAATGGTGTCTTTGATCTGCAGAAATGTAGGTGCAGAATGTCACTGGACACAAGACTGTTTGGGGCATCCATGAAGCGGTCATATTAGACAATGTAGGTGATTTTTAAAAAGACTAGGCTTCTACGGATGAAAACCCAAAATCTTCAATAAAATCAGGTTAAAGCACAGCATGTGGTCAGACAGTTTACTTGTGTAAGATGGAGGAGTCATGAGAATCAAGGAGAGCTAATGTTTCAATAACAACAGTTGCATGTCAGCACAATGTGAGGCTACTTACTAGCAAGCCATTGGTCCCATGCACAGTGATGCACCTTGAAAAACTATGATGAATAGACAGGCCAACCACAGACGCTGGCTGGCTGTACCCTCCTTTAGAATCCACGTCTCCACACAGATGAAAATGCACAGGATAGCGTCCCAGGTGCTGCTGGCCCATGTGTTTCAGTTCCACATAAGAAAGATGGACTGCAGTAAAATTCTTCTCTATCTATAAGGCAAAGTATTCCAAATCAAGTTTTCAAGACAGGAAAGAGGCAACAAGTATGCACACGTATTGTTTAAATGGAAGATGTCTATGGAGGAAACATCTTACAACATTTTGGGGCTTTGAGATAGATCAGCTAGTAGAATGTTTGCTATGCAAATGTAAGGGCTTGAGTACAGTCTCCAGCCCCATGTAAAGAGCTAAGGAAGGGACGTAAATGTTTGTGATTCCAGTACTGGAGAGGCAGACATACATAGATTCATGGGGCTCACTGGCCAGCCAGTCTAGCCTAATTGGTAAGTCCTAGGTCCCAATGAGACTCTGTCTCAAAATCAAGGTGGAAACCCCTCAAGGATGACTTCTGGCCTCCATAAACATGCAAAACACACACACACACACACACACACACACACACACACACACGTACCTGCACCCCACACAAACATACACACACCAATAAGATAAGAACATTTCTTTTCCTTTTGTGTTTTACCAGATCCTCATTAATAACACAGCACTTTGGAGGCTAGAGATGTAGCTCAGTAGCAGGGTTTGATTGCCTTGTGTGAGACCCCCAGTTTGATTCCCAATACTGTGAAAGGGGGAAACAGTAGTAAATACTGTTTACTACTGGAGCCATGGAACTAACTTCTAATCAGAAATAAGGAAAAATGAAACCAGGAAAATCACAAACTGTGTTCTGGGGGTGGGCTCTGGGACAAGGCAGGATAGGGAGTTGTAGGGTAGAGTTGGGTTTGTTTTGTTTCATTCCTCAGACAAGGCATTGCTTTGCAACCCTGTCTGGCCTAGTACTCAACATGTAGCACAGGCTGGCCTCATCATTATCCTTACATGGATCCTCCTACCTCAGCATAGCAAGCCTTGGGAATGACAAGTGCACACCACTTACATCTGCTTGGGTATTTTGTTCAAATACACGGAAGACTCAACAGTTGACACAAGGCTACAACATGCCAAAACCAGTGCTGAATTAAGAAGACTATAACCACAGACCATCCTCCATTGTGAAAAAGATCAACATCCTAACTTTGGAACTAACTTTCTAACTTTCCACTAAGGGAAAAAATAAAACACTCCCTTGTGATGCAAAGTTAGAGCATTCTCAATATCTTCAAGCACAGGCATTTCTGAAGCCAGAGATCCAGGAGCAAAGCTAAAGGTGGCCCAACACAGAAAAAGAGCTCAGACACTCATAGTCAAATGTGGATGAGACCCAGTAACTGGGCACATAGAATACTGTCACCATATGGTAACTGCTTGTTTTTCTCCATAATGAAAATCTGCACACAATAATTTTTATAGAACCATATTTTGATTGTATATATTAGTACTGCTGACCTTTAGTAATATCAGATTCTTAAAAAGCCAAGAAATTCTGAGAAATTGCAGGCATGGATATCAAGGTCTTCATGGTGAACTTTGTGTGACTGGGTTCTTCCTGATGTATAGTTAATAATTCTTAATGGATGAACTATGACAGTCCAGGCTATATAAAGGCACAACTTTTTTCTTATTTATGTGTGTGGGGGGGGGGGGGAGGTCTCACACAGTCTAGCCCAATATCATAGCTAAAGCTAGCCTTGAACTCCTTGATGCTCCTGGTTCAGTCTCCCAAGTCTGGGATTACAGGTGCACACAATCACACCTTGCTCTCTTTTAGGTTTTGTTTTTAAACATTTTCTAATATTTAAAAAATAATTACACTGTCTTTTTAATATCCATATATATGAATAACACCCCCCCCCACACAACACACACACCCTACCTAATTCCACCAAAAGTTCCTTAGCAACTTAAAAATTTCTTAGTACTTAGCTACTAGGTTTCAAGGAACTCATCAAATCCTTCCACCCACCATCACATGTCCTCCAAAGGTGTCATAATCGAAGAACTGGCATTGATTATCAGCATAGCATGAGTCCTCCATTTCTCCTTGGATCACAATATTCCGGGTGAGAATTCCAACCTCTGCTCTCATGTCTATCCCGTCTATGATCTCACCAACATGCAGGTACTGGGGGGTCTCTGGTGATGTGGATGAAGGAAGGACAATGTCAGAACAAAGAAAAAAAATGAGAAACCATCCAGAAAAGCATTCTCCATCATTTGACAATCTCAAGACATTATCTAAAACACCTGGGGATGACAGACTCCCAGAAGCGGGATCTTCAAGACTGTCAGTCCAACTGCCCACCCAAAGCCAGAACTCCTGCTGCTGCTCTCAGCCCCAGACAGTCATAGGGTTTGCTCTACCCTTTGTGGCTCAGTCCTTCCATAGTTAGCAACAAAGACATGGGAACAGCCTGACACTTTCTCCCTAGTTCTTGCACTCATTCTGCAGCCACCCGACAGACATATGAAGAACCAAATGCCAGGGACCCTTAGAAGGAAATTTTCTTGTTATGGAATATCACATTGTGCTTCTACTTCAAACTAAGTGATTAGCGTCTGCATTCCAGCCAATAGAGAATGTCATCTTGTTTTCCCCCTGCTATCTTTTAAATAGTTACCTTTCCTGGAAGTTTACAAGCAATTTCAAAGAAGTTTACTTTCTCCATCTGATGTTTTTCTATTAAACTCAGAAAGGAGTGTGGGACTTTCCACAGATAGTAATGATGGATGGTATCATTGTAACTTGGGAGTTTCCTTTTTTCCTTTTCCTGTGTGCCCAGTATTAACAAAATAAGGAAAAGGAGAAAACTGAACAAAACACTAAGGGGGAAAAATGCCAACTCTAAGCTAAGAACTCTACTTAACATTCTACTACTTCTTTTATTAAAGCACAAAAATTTCAAACTTCAATGCTCTTTATTCAAAAACAAGCCTTGAAGGCTGTCTGCAGCTTCTGCTTTGTGGCATCACAATACAATCGCTGAGTACAGAAACAAGAAAGCAATGTGAAAGAAAAAGCACTAAAGCCCACAAGGGAAGCGAGTACCAAGGCGCTTTGGGCAGGACCTGCAAGTGGAGACGAGAGGAGGAACCTGGAAGACGGTAGCCATTCTCTCCACTCACAGCTCACAGTAAGAATCTCGCTTTGAACTGCTCTCGTCCAAAAACCATATTCCTCACAGTTACGGCAGGAGATAAAGCCTCATCAAATTACCTTATTTGGTTCTATTTTAAATATAAACTAAAGATCTCCTTTCTTTCTTAGTTAAGAAAGTAGGAATTCAAAAAAAGTCTTTCTTTCCTTAAGAAATATTAAACACCAGCAGTGGTGGTACATGCCTTTAATCCCATCATTCAGGAGACAGAGACAGGAGGTTCTCTGACTTGGAGGCCAGTCTAGTCTACAAAGTGACAGTTATAGTCTTCCAGGATAGTCAGGACTACACAGAAAAACCATGTCTTGAAAAAACCAAAATAGTAATAGTGATGATAGTAATAATAACAAAAGAAAGACTGATATTTAAAAAATTAATTAGTTGTTGGGCAGGTTTATTATCTGACAATAAAAAAAAAGTAAGAAACTAGAATGGACTTTAGAAAACTGATTTGCCAATCGTCATCTTTTTCCTTTAATAAGGAGCACTGATTACCTGCTAGGTCTCACCAGTAGTGGAAACACTGCCTGTAATGGTAGCATTCTGTTCACCACCCTCTGGACTCTATCGTTCAGTGCACTCACCACTAAGATCAGGGTTCATGATGATATGGCGGTGTGTCACCTCTAAGATCAGTGTCCACGATGATATGGGAGTGGTCAGGAGAAAGGATTGTAGTAATCAAAGGCCAAGAAAAGAGCATGTTTCCAAAGTAAAGTGAGGAGTCCAGTACCTTTAACTTTGACCTGAAAACGGCTGCACTCAGGGCATGGGAGAAGAGTGAACTCCTCTGCTTGGTACATGGAATAGTCGGTGCTGGCAACCACAATTCGGTCTCCGGCTTCCCAGCTACCAACATCATCCAATAGGTGAAGCTTTGCTCCATCTGCAATCTCTACCCGGAAACCTGAAAGAGAGATTCCTAAACAAAAAACAAAAAACAAACAAACAAAAAAAAACAGGCATCAAGAGAAATGTTTTTGTAAACAAGTATGTGTTCCTGAGTTACAAAACAAAAACCAAAGTAAGTACAATGTGGCCATTTTTTTCCATAATGCTAACCATGTGCTAATCATTTGTCTCTAAATGATAAAAACACAAGAAAATCTGGATTCTGGCCCCCAAAGGAAGAGAGTCCATACACCAATGACCATGTACAAATTGTTAAATCAGTAAACTATTCTTCAAAATTAGTCTGAAGATTCTCAGTGCTGACATTCTGCGCTTATTTCATCTCAGTACAAGAACTATAATACTGTCATCCCCCAAAATATTCACATGTACCGGGAACACTTCAACAGAAGTGGCTAGACACAGAAGAGGTCTGGAATAAATGTCTGGTGGCTTTATTTGGTTCAAGTCATCAGAAGCGACAGGACATTAGTACACAGACCATCTTTGTGCTAGGAATGAAAGTACATTGCAAAACATGCCTCATTTCTGTGCTTTGTGCCTGCTTTAGTCATTTCTTTTTAAAATGTATAAACAATGAAATCTATTTTTCCCAGTTCTAGAGACTGTAAGGTCCAAGGTCAAGGAACCAAAGTCAGTAAAGGCTGGCCTCCGCATGGATGCCACCTTCTCTAGTTTCTACACAGTGGAAGGGCAAACATACTCTGCATTCTTTGACTAGGATGGGTTTCTACTCTTCTTCACCAAACAAATTGCTATCTACCCGTTATGTTGGGAAATTGCTGGGGAAGAAGCTTATTGAGTAGAACACCACAAACTGTGCATGGATTTGGTTCCCTAGCACCTCAAAGTGAAATGACAGGGAGTCTTTAAAGACTTCTGAACATCCTTGCCAAAAGTACCCTCTGCTCTGGGCCTGGGCAAGCATTGGCAGTATTTATACCTTCCTCATCCTTGCAAGGGGCATCAGTGAAGGCAGCAGGGCAAAACCCCTTGTGTATTCACTACTCTTCGTCTTCTTCACAGTACAGGTCACTGATGTCTGCCAAATGGATAATTATGGACTGTGATATACTGTCACCTACAAGTACATGATTGTGACCTGTCCAGCTTAGCGCCTTTGGAGAATGATATAATGTAAATGATGGAAACTTCTGATTACTAACAGGTGGTATGGAAATTTGAGTGACAATGACCTATGTGCTCATGTATCTGAATACCTGGCTTCCAACTGGAGGAACTGTCTGAGAAGAATGAGGAGTGAAGGAGGTAGTCACGGGTTTTGAGATTTCAAAAGCCCATGTCATTACCAGTTGGCTCTCTCTCGGCCTCATGGCTGTCTTAAGGTGTGAACTCTCACCTACTGCTCCACCATGACAGTCATGGACTCTAACCCTCTGAAACTGTAAGCTCCAAAGTAAATGCTTTACATTTGTAAGTTGCTTTGGTCATGACAGTTTATCATAACAATAAAAAAATGATTAAAACAAGTAGTATCTCCAAATCTCTCTAACTTATACTTCGGTTTGTTGCATTCAGTACAGTGCTGAAGTGTTTACTCTACAATATCTGTGATTTTAAAAAATGTCATGAGCAAAAAGCTTGAGGGAAATGTGGATAGAATAAAAGACAGCTACTTTACAAAATCAATAGATGAGAAAACTCCTCCTCTTCCTCAAAGATTTGTGTTCAAAAAATGCTTCTCCAGCATTGCCTTATCTTAACTAGCAAGATGATGCTTACTCTAATGAACTAAAGAATATGTTTACTTGAGTTGGGAGAATAAAAAGACAGGAAATTTGGACAAGGAACAAGAACAGCATGAATGGTCTCACAGTCTTGGTCAATTGTCCAGATACAACCTAACCAGGACAAGGCATGAAGTCTGTCACTGGGAACTAATCTGCCCTGCATATGTATTTTCTGCAAAGTACATGTGTGTATGCATATATGCAAACACAAATATACATTCGAGCAAATTTTGGGTACATTCTCAGTATTTTTCTTGAATTCGTATTTACTAAGATAAAAAATTCCAGCAATTATCATAGATTTTTATTTAAAACATATTTTGTTTACAAATGAAAATGTTACAAATAAACAAAAAATGTTCATTCGCAAACATTTTCATTTCATATAGCATATCCTTCCAAAAATGGAAATAGGAACTTAGAACAAAGATCATCAGAAATCCTACCACAAATCATTATTCTAAATTTAAGGTTTCATTAAAATAAAATACTCCATAAAAAGTTTCACATTAAATTCCAGTATTTATTTCCAAGATATGATACTAAATTTTGATTTGAATAGTCATTAGATTTCTCTTTTAAAAAAGTCAGAAAAGACTTGGGAACACCTTAGTGTTTGATAATTTCTCACTTTTTTCTAGGCTGAGGAGAAAATTCTGCCTACAATAACCTCTTGCAGGCACAAAAAGGAAGTGAGTTCAGTGTCCCGCTTCCTCCAGAGAATTTCCACCCTTCCAGAAAGCAGGGGTCACTGAGGACGTCAGCCCATGGCAGATGGTAGGAGTTCCCACTTCCAGAAATGAGCAGCCAAGGTGACGTGGAAATTAAGGTCCCTACACAGGAAAAGCTGACTCAACCCTTGGTGTAGTCTCCTCCAGCCTGGAACTTTCCTGTAGACAGAACTGTTGAACACATACAGGACCAAACTCATGCTAGGGCTGGGCTTACCACCTGTGCCTGAAACCACTATGGAGGCCCGAAGCAGGGCTTGGTCCAGCTTCTCCCCCCATCGTAGATACCACTTCCTGTCCAAAGCCACTTGCTTAGAAGCAATATGTGAAAAGTTCTTGTCACATCTCAGAGATTCCATTTATTTGGTTTTTTTAACATTTCATTTATGTTTTTTTAAATGTATTCTATTAGTTGTCTTAATTACTTTTCTGTTGCTGATGAGAGCAATGTAAAAAAAAAAAGGGTTTGTTTCCCTCACAGTTTGAAGGGACACTCCATCATGGTAGGGAACTCAAGGCAGTAGGAGCTTGAAGCAGCTGGTCACACTGTGTTCACCCACTTAAAGAAGGGACGAACCCTGGGCAAGGAATGGTGCCACCCGCAGTGGGTAGATCTTCCCACCTCAATAAACCTCATCCACCCACATGCCCAGAAGACAGGTGTCTGCAGAAATCATCAAGCTGACAACCAAAGTCAACTATCACACTACTTAATTAGATACTATGACTCAGGATCCAGAACACAGTCCAAAGAGGGTTGCCTAAACTAAAATAGATCAGTAGCTAGTCCAGACTTCTTGAATTTACAAGATTTAAGTTTAGTAGGAAAATTAGCTCCAACTCTAACTAGCTGTCAAATCTGCCAAGACTGACTGATGTTTGAACACAGTAATGCCCTACAGTTATCTGTCACAGTCCTTACCTGTGTCTCACAGAGTTTAAACCACCTTTGCTTACCTTCAATCCATTCACTATAGGCTGTCACGGAGAACTTCTGACCATCCAAGGTGTAGAATTCTCCTTGAGCCAAGGCCTTCCCACCAGTGCTGTGGTTTTCATAGTTTCTCACAGATTCGTTGCAGGAAGAACTTCCACCATCAATGACACCAACTAAAGCCCAAGCTTGCCTAGCAGGAGAACAGCAAGCATATCTGGTTATTTGTCACAGAAATGGCCCAAGTCCTAGACATGGATATGGTGGGAGACTGATTTTCAACATCTGTACCTCATTTCTTACGTTTCCCTTGAGGCTGCAGTTTCTAGGTTTTTGCTGAGGTAACTGATGTCACAGAAGCAAATGCACCTGATTTTCAAAAACTTGTTTTTCCAGCTCTTACAGGTGAAACACTGATGACTATGGCATCAGCTAATCATGGACTTCCTTCCTGGACACACACAGGAACATGTGTCATTCTAGACATAAATCCCCTGCTATCTCCTAAAAAGACTGCCATCTGCTCTTTTGCAGTGTTTGGTGGTTGTTTTGTTCCTGAGTCAGGGTCTTGAGTAACCTAGGCTGGCACTGAATTGCACAGCTGAAAGAACGATCTTAATTATTGACCCTCTTGCCTCCATGACCAAAGTGCTGAGACTGCCGTCACACCTGGCTTCTTGGTTTGTTTTATTTTTGTTGGCTTGCTTCCAGGATATCACCAGGGAGAGGATTCATGGCCCGGAAGCTTTCAAAGTTAATACTGTGGGGTCTGGGTACCTGAATGTTCAGGTAGATCAACTCAACAATGACTTGAGCAGTGGTTCTCAAGCCTTAGCATTAGATTGACTTGAGGGAGAATGGATAAATAGGATCACTGCCCCATTCTCCTGCCACCACAGGCTGAGAATGGGGGGATCAAAGAATCTGCAAATCTAGCAAATTTCTCAGCGATGCTAAATGATGCTCCTAACCACACTCTGAGAACCCTTAGGGTCTAGGGAGAGGGTTCGGTCAGTAGAGAACCTGATGGACAAGCATAAAGACCTAAGTTCAGATTAGCACCTAATAAAAGGCAGGGTCCAGTGGCACCAATCTGTTACTGAGGTAGACATGGGTAGATCACTATAGCTTACTGACTAGGCAAATCTGTGAGCTCCAGGTTCAGTGGAAGGAAGGTCCTATCCTACTATATGAGGTAGAAAGTGATTGAGGGGGACACTATAAGGTTGTCAGAGGACCTACACACACACACACACACACACACACACACACACACACACACACACACACACACACACCTCTAATTTAGAGGTCACAGTTTTCAACAGTAATTACCATTCTTTTGACTGGGGTCCCACCCTTTAAAAACCTGGTCAAGACACCCTAAGAGTTAGCAGTTTTTAATGTCTGTGTATTTAGGCACAGTTGAGAATCACTGAGTTAGAAGTTTCTAAACATCCTTGAAGCCACAGAATTGCTATCCTATAGATTTTCAGTTTTACAAATGATGACCTGCAGAAAGCAATGTGTTTTTAAAATGCCATTCAACTTCTACAAATAACAAATACTTAATGGACTCCCCCCAGCTCGTGTCCCAAGTTAGTCAAAGAAAAAAATATAGCAACAAAAGCCAGGAAACTTGTCTTAAGAAGCCAGGAAACTTGCCTCAAGCCTCCTGGTTCAAAACATGAAAAGAAAAATGTGAACTTCATACTTTGAGGGGAAAAAAATTACTAAATGTATTCTATGCCAGACAGATGGCCAGATATTCAGAGAAAAGGTTCACTAAAGCAAGCCCACACAGCCTTCAAGTCCTGCAGCTGCCCTGGTGAGGATTAGAGTCTGAGAACCAGGCAGAGCTTTTTATATCCTCAATACAGCAGAAAGGCTCAAACAAAGAGTATCTCAACTATTATCTCCCAGTAGAGAAGAGAGGAAGAATGTCAGAGTCTCCCTTTCTTTACCAGAACTGCCTCAGCAACTATGAAACAATGTTCTGTTCTATTAGCATTACCCCTAGAACATTCCCACTTGCTCCTCTATTCGTGGGAAATTTCAACGCACTAGAACACGATTTCCAAAGGGGTGCCTGTTCGTGTACACTGGAGACAATGTCAATACAACGGAAGGCTTCTGAACACCATTCTAACTTCTCCATTAATGAGTGGTGATATGTTAAAGGGAATTTAGAAAGCAAAGTCGAGACAGTTACAGCCAATGGTGACACAGGGTCAGAAGCAATGATGGCATAAAGAACGGAGGCTGTCACTGCTGCCACTGCTGCATCAGGACACACAGGAGGTACTCTGTGTTATGGAATATTATTTTAAGATGTGTTACATTCATTTATGCTGTGGAACATTTGGTTAATGATGCAAAGATGTGTTGTATTCTTTTATGTTGCATTTGTTTAACTCTGTAACGCTATTACTACTTTGCCTGTCTAAAGCACCTGATTGATCTCATAAGAAGCTGGACAACCAATAGCAAGGCAAGAGAGAGAATAGGCAGGGCTGGCAGGCAAAGGCAATAAATAGGAGAAATCTGGGAAGAAGAGATCCAGGAGCTAGGAAAGGAGGACATCAGGGACAGCGACCCAGATACACAGCAAGCCATGGAGCAAGAAGTAAAGAAAGGTATATAGGATAAAGATAAGAGCCAGAGGCAAAAGGTAGTTTGGATAATTTAAGTTAAGAAACATGGCAAGAAATAAGCCAAGCTAAGGCCGGACATTTATAAGTAAGAATAAGCTTCTGCATGTGATTTATTTGGGAGCTGGGTGACAGGCCCCAAAAGAGCAAAAGAGCAGAATAAAAAGTAAAAAACAAAAACAAAAACTCCCACTCTGGTTTGGATCTTCAATATTCCCTAAAAGCTCCACGTGTTGAAGGATTGTTTCTAGCCACTGGGGATACTAAAGAGTAGCTGAACCCCTAAGAGGTGACAGGGATAAAGGGGTTGGAGTGGCTAAGGGCTGCAGAGAAGTTAAGAGCACCAGCTGCCCTTCCGGAGCACCAGTCTTAAATCTTAAGGACCTGCACTATAGGAAGCAGCCCACAATCTAGCTCCATAGGATCTGACGGCCTCTTCAGGGCTCTAAGGACACATGGACGGACAGACACATACACACACACACACACACACACACACACACACACACGCACACACACAAGTCACTGGGTTTCTGGCATCCCAGGGTCCTTCTTCTCACTCTACATCCTAGGCACCGTGGGGTTAGCAGCTTTACCCACTATCATTACTATTGTGATGTTCTCTGCCTTACCACAGGCCTAAAGCCACAGGGTCAAGTGACCATGGACTGAAATCTCTCAAACTGTGAGCCAAAAGTAATCTTTCCTCCTAAGTTAACAGTCTTGGATATTTATTTTGTCACAGTTAATGAAAACTGACTAATACAATACATTGCCAAGAAAATGTTTCTACTCCTTGGTCTATGCATTACGGGAATGGGTACACAGGTATATCAGTAGCTAGGTAAAGGAATAGTTACAGAAACACAAGCTAGAAAGTCATTCTGATATCCACAGTAAATAAACTTTAGTATATTCATTCAATAGGAAATAAACAATAGTGGAAGCTGGGTTTAATGGCACAGGCCTTTAATCCCAGAACTTGGAAGGCAGAGGAGGGTGGATCTCTGTGACTTTGAGGCCAGCCTGGTCTATATAGTTCCAGGACAGTTGGAGCTACACAGTGAGACCCTGTCTTAGGATAGAAAGGAAGGAAGGAAGGAAGGAAGGAAGGAAGGAAGGAAGGAAGGAAGGAAGGAAGGAAGGAAGGAAGGAAGGAAGGAAGGGTGGTGAAAAAAGACAGCCCTGTATGTGACAATATGAAGAGCCCTCATGAGGTAAGCAAAAATAACCAGACACAAACTATTTAGTCTGCCATCATTTATCTGAAGCTCAAAGGGGAACTAACCTAAACCTAACTCAGGAGAAAGCTTATCTTTGGAGATGGAATGAATGACAGTGCTTAGCACTGGTGGTAAGAGGGCCATGGTCTGCTGGCAAAGTTTTGTTTCTTGGCCTGAGTGGTGACTACATAAGGATTGCCTTGTAATCTATCATTAAGCTTTGCATCCTATTATAGTACTTCTCCATCTGTGTGTTATCAGAGTAAACCCTCGGAGGCTTTGCTCTCAATGTCCTGTGTCTAGGCCTCCATTCTTTCTACCTATATAGCACACTCCTCGCATTCCTAAGGCATCTTGCCTCCGGAGCATGCCTATTATTTCCCCATGCCAGTTGGCTGTTGGTTTTTCCTTCTTGTGTTTTGATATCTCATAAGAAAGGTGAGTAAGAAACAATTCAGGATGATAATAGACCTCTGTCCATCACTAACATTATCTTCAAGAATTTCTGTGGCTAACACTGTGCCCAAAGGAAAAGCTAAGCGTGTCACATTTCACTATGCAGTTTGGAGGCCCTCTCACTTCTGTCACTGCAGACATTTCCCAATGTTCCTAAGAACATTCAGCAGAATTACAACTTCTGGGTTTTTGTTTTTCTTTCTCTTTCTTTTTTTTTTTTCTTTAGTTAAATGGTGAACCAGTTACTTCCGTCAGCCTCCAGACAGTATTAGGAAATCAAGGGTGAAGAGTAGACTCTTCTAGAGAATTAGAGATAACTTCTGTATGAATGAATAGCTTAGCGCTCCAACTTTGGGCTGCCTCTCCTATGCCAGAATTGGACAGAACTGAGCCAATGAAGCAACAGGAATCAAAACACCATGTAAAGGATTCCAATCAAATTAACATGCAAAAGATTCCAAAAAAAGAAAGCACAAGGGCCCTAAGCATGATACCCCTTAGGGCTTTTATGACAGCCTTTTCATGGAACTGTGCTCTAACCTCTCAGCTGCTCGGCTGTCTCAATTAGCCTAGACTTCAGTAGCCTCAGTTTCATTATGCTCAGAAGTTATGGTAACAGGAAGTCTCTTCAGAGGCAATTACCTTCACTCTGCCCAGTGCCTTTCAGAACCACATCTCTGTGCTTTCTACACTGAGAGACAATTCACAAAGGGCTTCATAAGTCAAAGCCAAGACTGTTCTGTGCACCACATCTAATAGTTAAATCCATGGTTCAAACAAGAGCCAATTGGATGCACCAACAGCAAAGGCCGGGGAGGGGGGGACAGAAGGGGGGGGAAAGACACACCATGCTGCCAGCTAAATCAGCAGCAGCTGTCTGTGGGTCTCTGCCCACCTTCTCTGCTTTCACAGGCTATAAACTTTACCACAGAGCTGGAAAGAGAGGAACAAGGTCTACCTACCTGTAGCCCAGCCCGTGGATCAGCTTACTTCCCAACCGGTCGTGGATCATCTGGATTGTTCCTTGTAACAGGCTCTTGACTGCAGAATCTCCAACGGCAATAGCTACAATCCGGCCGGGATCCTGAGCTCTCAAAAATTCCTGCAGTCTCCTGCTCTCATTGTGGTACTCATGGGTATCAAACTTCTCAGATTCCAAAACTCTGGCTGTGTCTTGGTCAATGACCCTCACATTAAGGCCCCGGGAAAAGTCCTTTTCAAAGGCATAGGAACCAAAGGGCAAGCCTGAGGAATGCAGAGTCCTTGCCAGCATGGTCCATGATGTCCTCCGTGCCCCGTGTAACTCCAGCGTCCCACCAGCCTCTACGCCAATAAACTTTTTGCCAAATGTTGGCATACTTTCACCTTCATCTGACTTGCCATACAAGGTAATCATTGCTTTGGATCTATAGCGGCATTTTTCTGCTCCAATATGAAGCGCCCCACCATCCTGGATCAGGATGTAATGAGTCCTCAAGGTAATATTTCTGGATCCATCTTTATCATCCCCAAATACAAGCAGTCCTGCAAGGAACAACACTACTTGAACGTTTGGAACTGTGTTCTGGCTATCAGATGTGGGTCACCAGAGGTGGCTCATGTGGGTGATTGGTCCCCTGGATCCAATGCCAGCTGTTTCCTGCCTGGTACCATGATGTGACCAGATGCAAGATTCTCAGAGGAAGACACACCAGTCTCCATGTCTCCCCTGCCATTGTGAAGGACACCCTCTGGAGCTTTGATTCAAAATAAACAGTCTGAAGGCAGTCCTATAACACCTAATCCCAGCAATGAGAAAAAACTGGGCATCCCTTTGTCTTTTGTCTTTCTTTTTTTTAACAAAATCTACTACAGATATTCTATATGAGGGAGAGCAGATGGCCCCCACATTACAGAGCATCCATGGGTCTCCCACAGACAGGGGTTATTTATTACCTACCTCCATTCTGAATGACTATAGAATTCACTGTAGCATCTGAGGTCAGGCGGAACATATCTCCCTCCTTGATAACAATGTGTTTTCCAGAATCTTGTCCTGGATCCCAGTTCCTGAGACGAGGGTTTTGATCTGGACAGTTCTCTACAAAACATCACAACACTGATAGAGAATCCAATCCAACAAAGTGCAGGAAAACCACATGGCCAGTCAAGCCTAGGAATTACTGTCATTGAACACCACAGGTGTGCATGGAAAGTTCAGAGTCACTGATCTCCTGCCACTGGAATGAAAGTACCTCCCAAACACAAGAGGTATGAATTCTTTACTTCAATATATTAAAAAAAAATGTTAGCACAAAATTAAGTTATCACCTGGTTCAAGCCAAACGTCACAGGATAAAAATGAAGTTCCCCTGACCACCTACTTTGGAAATAAAAGCATTAAGAATGAATTTCGCTGGGACTCACACTATAAAGACGTTTTAGAGAAGAAAATAATAGGGTGGCAATGTAGCTCACTAGAAAAGTGCTAGCTTATCGTGCCTGAGATCGCGGATTAGATTCCCATAATCTCAGACAGACAGACAGACAGACAGACAGACAGACACACTCTCTCTCTCTCTCTCTCTCTCTCTCTCTCTGTGTGTGTGTGTGTGTGTGTGTGTGTGTGTGCGCGCATGTGTGTGTGTGTGTCTATTTCTCTCTCTCTCTGTCTCTCTCTCTCTCAATGCCTTGACTAATGGAAACAGAAATCACAGACATTTCTAACATATATGTTAGCTATTCTAAAGTTTCTTCTTAAACACAGAGAATCAGAGAATAAGCGGCAACGGCACCTCTTTCCCCACATGCACACTTTCCTAACAAAACTACAGAAGGCAAGTGGCCAAAACCATGACTTCTCATTTTCAGAGATGAGGAAATTGCAGAGTAGAGAAGCCAACACAAAGATTAGTCAGCAAGTTGAGTGATGTGGAAGTTCCTCCTGAAGAAATGAGGTCCGTGACTTGTAATCTTCCTTTACCAGAATTGTAACTTGCCTCTAGAGAAGTAGATAATAAAACGATGGCTTTTTGAGTATGAAATACTTCTAGGGGAAAGAAAAATCATATTTCACTTTTGGTCAGCTAATAACTCAAGATTTGCTGGAGATCATTTGGTCTTCTCTGTAGTAGATACTATGAATTTGTAAAGTATAGATGGTGGTGGGCATATTTCTACAAGTCTATAAACCAGCCTAGGAGAAAAGCCATCATGTATGAAATGAATAAATAGTAAATAATGTGGTCCTTAATTTAGGAGCAAGTATGCTCAGACAAAGGAAGAACAAGTTGGAGGTCCTGAGGCATCTTCATAGACTCAGACCCCAAAGGATGAATAACACTTAAATATGAGGAGTATGAAGAGGAGACAAGAATACAAGGAAAGTTGGGGCTGGGAGATGATGGAACAATAAACAATGCTTAAGAGCATGGACCGCTCTCACAGAGTTCGGTTCCCAGCACCCACATCTGGCTCACAATTGCCTCAAACTACAGTTCCAAGGGATTCAATACCCTCTTCTGGCCTCTGTGACCAACACACACATGTGGCCATTCACCCACACAGACACACACATATATATACATAAATAAAAGCAATAAAAATAAACCTATTTTTAAAAAGGATAGGAAATATATATATCCTGCTATCCTAGCTCATTTGTTACTCAACTCATCTATATTTCAATTAAGCACCTGTGTTTAAATTAAGCAAAGGTAGAAAAGTAGGAATGAGTGACAAATGCTTGAGGACAACAAGAAGAAATACCGCTGAGGCTGAAGGGTCACAAGTGAAAGGAGAGACTACAGATAAAAGAGAAAGCATCCTAAATTTGCATTTTGAACCTGCATTCCCAATGCTGTAATCTTCCTATCTCTAAGAGCTTATGTAGCCTATGCTGTCACTTTGAAGTGAGAGCAACTAGAATTAAATTAGTATCACTAAGGCTTTGGCAAGCATTTGATGGGATTATTTTTCTCATTCCAGATTCGTAATTACTATGTAACTCTTCATTATAAACCATTACACTAAAGGCCATCCTTGAAGCTGGCAGTGTAGCTCAGTGGGAGAATGCTTGTTTAGCACAGACAAAGCTCAGAGTCCAATCCCCAGCCCTACAAAAACTAACATGACTTTTCTTCAGCCTCCCTATCTCATAAAACATAGAGCTGGAATTCTCCAGAGTGTTAGATAAGAAGCAAATGTCACATGCCACAAGCTACTGAGAAAGACTTTCAGTCTGTGGAGACCTGAAGTTCATTGTAAGAGTTATGCAATTCCTCTTAATTGCTTGTAATCAATTCCTAGAGAGCACACTCCATTAGAACTATCACCCCAGACATTCCTGAGTTGTTCCTTCCAGCAAAATATACTTAAAAGAGGAAATGTATATGGTGTGCAGAAATCATGAAAAATCAACTCAGCCAGCCCCATGTCCTGGGCTAGCCCGCTTGAGGAGTAGCACATCTGTAACAGCAAAACACCACGGTGAGGCTGACCATAAAATACTGCAACATGCTAGATCTTTCCAACATGTGGAACTAAAGAACACTGACTCAAGAAGCCACATTTGCAGCCCAGGGCTTTGGACAGACTAAGAAAATACCAGGGAAAAACCACAGATTACAGCTCTGATTTCCCACCAGTCTGGCTTCCCGCTCCTGAATATTATTTGGAAAATGTGAATCAGAACTTGGTTATTGTGTTTGGAACTGGGAATAGAAAGTCAATACTACAAGCAAGGGAAATCAATGTAATAAATTCAAAGTGTGGCCAACTGGCTTGGTCAACAAAGATGTGGACAGGCTCATCTCTCTTAGTCCCTGTTTATTCTTTTGGAAATGTTGGTAACTACTTCCTCCAGGACCTTAAAACTGACAAAAATCCCTAAAGTACCCTGAAAACCAAAATAAAATAATATTTGTAAGTTTTACAAAGGGCAATGCGGGCCTCAACTGTTAGACTATTATATCCAGTTAAGGAGGCATCTACTCAGACAAAAACCTGTGGTAGACTTCGTTCAAAAGAAAAAACAAAGACAAAGGGATACTCAGCTCGGGTTGTAATGGTCTGGGATGGTCTGAGGTCCTCTATGTCATAGACCCAGGACCTCTGAGTTCTAAACTGTTCTAGGAAGCTACTGTTTGTTGAAAACATACTGAGCTTAGCAGGCAACACGTTTCTCCAAAAGCAATCAAAACAAATTTATTACCATTTTCTCTCTCTCTCTCTCTCTCTCTCTCTCTCTCTCTCTCTCTCTCTCTCTCTCTCTCTCTCACATGTGTGTGTGTGTGTGTGTGTGTGTGTGTGTGTGTGTGTGTGTGTGTGTGTGAGGAGTAAGGAGTAGATAACACACGCATGTGGAGGCAAAGAGAAAAACCCACTCGGTTGGCCTAGGCTGGCTCCGTTTAGACTCAGGAGTCCCTCTGATGCCACCTTCCCAGTGCTGGGATTACAGGCACACTGGACCACATCTGGTTTTGTTTTGTTAAGATTTTTTTATGTGTGTTTGTTTGTGAATGTATGTCATGTGTATCCAGGTATCAGTGAAACCAGAAGAGGGTGCTGGAGCCCCTAGACTTCAACGTGGTTGTGACCCACTGTCCCACCCCTTGTAGGTTCTGGGAACTAAACTCAGCCCCTCACCAACTGAATTATCTCCTCAATACTGATCACTAAATTTCTGACCTGGCTTCTTGAAAAGCAAATATCATTTAAGAATTTAAAGCTCCCTACATGATATTCAGCTATGGACAGAATGGGTAGAACTGGACAAATGTATCAACCTACACACAAGGATAGAAGTTTCTTTTAAGGTTATACTCCATAACTCAAAAGTATTTTTTAAATGTTTTACACTCATTACCAAGGCTGTTTCAAATCACAAAACAATTTCTTTTTTAGTCGCTTGTTTGTTTTTTAAAATGAAGTTCACTTTATCACTATAAGTATGACCAAATAAACTTATTGCAATCCAGAACTCACGGCTCCCACAAAGAACAACCCTGTACTCCCCCAGGAAGTAGTAAAGACTCGAAGAGCTTTTGAAGAGGTGCTCCAAGAACAACTTGAGCTCTGAGACACAGTGGGGGGCCAAAAATGCTAGCAAAGCCAAGCCTTCGTACTTACAATTTCCCACAGATTCCTCAAACAACTGCTCTCATTCATAAGAAATCATATCTCATCCTACCTGTGGGTTAGGTAGTTAGAGCCAGCCTAAGTAACAAAAGGTTGTCTTTGTTTTTGCTTTTGTTTTAGTATTCTATCTCCTCAACTTAGCTTGTTTGTTTATTTTTTGATTTTTGTTTTTCAAGACAGGGTTTCTCTGTAGCACTGACTGTCCTGGAACTCACTCTGTAGACCACGCTGTCCTCAACTCACACAGATCTGCCCGCTTCTACCTCCCAAAAGCTGGGATTAAAGGCTTGTGCCACCACCTAGCACCCTAGCTCTTCTTTTAGCCTATGTTTGAATTAGCTCTTTTTTAAAACTATGTTCTACGTACAGCGCCTTAGCTCTTCTTTTAACCTATGTTCGAAGTGCCATGCGCATGCGTAGCATGCAGCACGCACAGTACATACCATCCGGAGCATATTTTGAGGATATTCCCAAAATGACTGCAAGCGCCACAAAAAACGAGAAGCTGGTTATAGCAAAGCAGATGAAGGTGTTCTTGTGTCTCTTTTGCTTTCGGTTCTCCCTAGGCGTTTGCTGCTCCTCCGGGGAGAAAGCAAAAGTTGCTAGGGCTTCTTGGTTGGTGGAGGTCAATTTGGCTGAAGCCTGGTTCTTTGGAGGAGGAGGAGGACGCAAGGGAACCACCTTCCCAGGAACGTAACCAGGTGAGCGATGGCTGTTTCCGTTTTGCGGTTGCAGGAAAGCAGGGGAGTGTCCCCTGGAGCCAGCAGCATACATGATACCTTGTCACTGTGGAAAGGAAAAGAAGGTTTTCAATGGCTTTAAAACTTTGTTTGAAGACAGGGTCCTGTAGACCAGGGTGGGTTAGAACTTAATATGTAACCAAGGCTTAGCCTCAAACAAATCTACAAATAGGCATCACTATCTCCATTTTTTTTCATGAAAAAGCTGATTCCTAGAAAGAAAACCATACCAGCCCAGGACCCTGACTCTAAAGACGCAGCTCTTTACAGAGGGCACAATCAGGACCTAACAGGCCTCAAACAGCATGTTAATCTCTGGAATCTCCCATGAATAAATTCACTTAACTAATGATGCGTGATTCTTTTTAGCTGAGAAAAACAGACACAAGCAAAGGCCCTCCTCTTTATGTTCATTATAGTTAGCACCAAGAAGAACGAGCTGTGAATGATATTGTTAATTTGGTAGGGAGGGGGGAGAGAAAAAATAAAGAAGGGAAGGTGGAGAAAGGGAGAGCACTACCATATAACGCCTTGCTACACTAACTGTTGATAACTCTGATTGCTCAACAGCTTCAGAAATTGACACCCAACCTCTTCCATTGTTTCCTTAACAACCAGAGCATCCCGAGTTACCTGACTTCATGCAATACCCTCACAATAAATTCCCCGTGTCTGCTACCAGATAAAGAACAAGAATTTAGTCATGCAGAGAGTCTCCAAATTGCAAATTCATTAAACATAAAATGGCCCACTAATAAGGACCCAAATGGCATGGAAATTAATGGGGAACACAAAGGAAATCTAATCAGAAATTGATCATAAGTTTACATGAGGCAAAGACCATTCTCAGAGCCAGTGTGTCTGTCAAATGACTAGGTCTATGGGGCTCCATGTGTGAATAAAAGCCATTGTTTAGATGAAGAGACTTACATTTCAGACAAAGGAAAAACACTGCCATCCAAGGTGCTATTGAGGAAACTGCTTATGACCCAAGCAGCAGACCCAAACAATGAACACAGCCAAGCAGAGTGTGACAAAAACAAACAAAAACAAAGCTGTCCATTAACGAAGAAAGGGACAGAGGAAGTTCCTGAGTGCCAGGTTCACTGGGAGGGGACACAACTGTCATGGTCCGCTGTGAAGGGTTGGGATCTATGCCCCTAGAGCTTCATCCTTCTGCCTCATTGTCTCAGATAGGAAGGGCTGGTGTTATTTACCAAGCTGAAGAGCCCTCTCGGGAAATACTGTGTCACACCAGATGTAGCCACAAAAAAATAAAAAATAAAATAAAAAGCAGTGAGAGGCTCCAGGGAGTCACCAATCCACTGGAAATAACAGAATAGCATGTCCTCAATGTCACAGAATTGCAACTTAACGAGAAAACTCAGAAGGCATCTGCCATAAATGAATCCTTCTGAATCCATTAGCCCACCGGTTGACAACTAAAAATGAGCCACCATTCTTATCCTCAAAAGTAATAGTACTTCCGTATTTTAGAATAAATAATGTGGTAAAAAACAATCCTATTTTCAATTCACAAAAATCATTAAAATTGTAAAACAGAAACATGTTTCCTTAGGTTTCATTTCACATTGATGGGTTTATTCTAGACGTGGTACTATGAATACATTACTTCAAAAACTATTGACTGCCACTTAGAGATCTAAATTATTCATGAAAAAAACGATGTCTCACTAATTCAGGAAGCAGCGGTTCTGACACTGTCAGAGAAACAATGAGGGTCAGACAAAAGCTTTGCAGTATCCTCAAGAAATCTAGCTCCCAAATTCAGTTTTAAATCACTTGTTTGGAAGATAAGGTAAAATTCACCCATGAAATACTGCCAAACTGTGTTCAGCCTCCCAAACTCTCAATAGTTGTTTAACCCTGAAAACCACTGAAGTTTCCTCTGGTGTTCCAGTCTCAGTGTGAGCACCGGGCACAATTATTTTATGTGCACTGTTTTGCAATTTTTTTGTTTTGTTTTGGTTTTTGCTTGTATGTATATCTGTGTGAGGGTGTTAAATATTGGAGTTACAGTTTTTAGCTGCCATGTGGGTGCTGGGAATTGAACCTAGGTCCTCTGGAAGAGCAGTCAGCGCTGTTAACCACTGAGCCATCTCTACAGCCCCCATCAGTCACTTTTTAAAGGTCATTCTTGTAGTGAAAGTCAGATTATACAAAAGGGGCTCACCCATATTTTACTACACTTTGTTTTGTTTAACTTGCATGATTAATTGTTTGGTTTTTTGAGACAGGGTTTCCCTGGGTAACCACCCTGGCTGGCCTTGAACTCAGAGATCTGTCTGCCTCTGTCTCCTGAGTGCTGGGATTAAGTAGCATGTGCGACTATGGCATGGCACAGCCCCTGAAATAAACAAGCTACCCACAACGGGAATACCCAAGTCTTTCATGTACAGATCAGAGAAACATTCCACAGTTTTTAAAGCATAATTTTTGGTGTTTGAAATAACTATCTTATGAGTATTTACTTACCTGATGACTTAAAAATATTAGCTCAAAAGACTTAGTAACAAATCACACAAGCAAATAATTAAACATTTACACTGGTAATGAAAGTAAATATTTAAGACAGACAACTAAAAGAATTTTCTAACATCATAACAACCTGACTGGAAAATGTTGATAAAAAGCATTCAAAGGAGCTTCCAAAACAATACAGAGAAACCCTGTCTCGTAAAACCAAAAAAAAAAAAAAAAAGCATTCAAAGGAGTATGAAATATGCAATTTTTTTCCAATTCAATTCCTCCTCAACCACCTACCAAAATAACCCAAAAACCTCTCTGTTATGTTAACTATTTTTTCTTGAGAAACAGGTATGTTCATGCCTCAAATAATAGCAAAGCAGCAGGAACACATACAAGTGATAAAAAGCCACAAATTAATTTATGTGGCATAAGTATAGCCAGTTATCCCAGAAAGCAATTATTTTTAATTACCATAATATTAATGGGTTTTTAAAGCTATAAAAAGGGGTGTGCCTTTGAGAACACTGTTTTTTGAATGGAGGGGTTAAACTGATTGTTTTCAAACACTGCACTGTCTTGTCTAGGAGGCCATCTCAAGAGTCCCCCATTCCATCTGCTCTTCCTGTACTGTTTAAAGTCTTCCTGTCAGCCTTATGCTTCAATTAGATTATGTTCTTATCCATCTGTCTCACCTTGGTGTTTTCACAGGACCTTACACACAGCAGGTACTCAATAAGTGGTTACTGTGCTTAGACCACAAATTCCTGCAAAGGAATTCATCATAAATGCTAGGAGATGAGGGGTGTGTGTGTGTGTGTGTGTGTGTGTGTGTGTGTGTGTGTGTGGTGTATGTGTGTGTTCCAAGTATAATAGGACATATATTTAATATATATCTATATATACACACACATGTACTCACACATACTGGAAGGAAAACAGAGATGGGTAAATATCTATCTGATTCTGTGTTACATTTAGTCCCAGAAAATCTGTTAAACTACAGATTTTTCTATTTTTCTCTCTTCCCATCTCTCCTATCTCTCCCCACCTCTTCTCCCAACTGCACCCCCCCCCCCCGCGCCAGGAATTTTCTATTTAACACTTAAATATTCTTGAGGCTCTGAGAAACTTAACTAATCTGTGTCACTGACTGCAACTTGGAGAAATTAAGAGCAATATTTCAAGAGAAAAAAGTCAGTTCTTGTTTAACCATTTCAAAATACAGTTCTAACCTGCAGTCTGCTGACTGATAGGTTGATTTAACATCTGCAAGCAGGAATTCTACAAACTTGCTGGCAAAATGTGCTATAATGGGTTCAATCACACAGTATGAAATGTGGTAGACACAAGGGAAAAAATGGAAAACCTTCCCTTCCACTTCTTGCTGACAGGAAGAAGCGATAAGATGGATCAGAGGGAAAGTCCTCTGCATGCGGGCACAGCAGATACACCAAGGTGCTTATCACAGTGATGGAGGACACCGCTCTCATTCTGTCTCATCATCAGTCTAAGTCACCCAGCCCTCTATCCACTGTAAACACTCCCACCATCCTTCATCAGACATGCGCACACCCAGCAATATGGAACTCTCAATAAGAATCCAAAAGCCAGGCGTAGTGGTGCACGCCTTTAAACCCAGCACTCAGGGAAGCAGAGGAAAGTTGGATCTCTGTGAGTTCAAAGCCAGCCTGGTCTACAACGTGAGATCCAGGACAGCCAACACTATACAAACAAACCTTGTCTCAAGAGAAAAAAAATCCAATCCTGTGTGTGTGTGTGTGTGTGTGTGTGTGTGTGTGTGTGTGTGTGTGTGTGTGTTGGGATTAAAGGCATCCACCACAACCACCCACTCCTCCAACCTATAATTTTAAAGAGAATCTTTGTTGTTGTTGTTTTTATTTTGGGGGATGAGTGCTCTGTCTACATGTATGCCTGCATGCCAGAAGAAGGCATCAGAACCCAGTGTAGATGGTTGTGAGCCACCATGTGGTTGCCAGGAATTGAACTCAGGACCTCAGGAAGAGCAGTTGGTGCTGAGTCACCTCTCCAGCCCCAAGTGAATCTATTTTTAAATGGAAACCTTAGACTTGTAGAAACAGCCAAGATATCAGCATAATCTAATCAAAGATTTCCTAAGGTGATTTTTGAAACAACAATCAACTGAATGGTCAACAATCTTTGCTTCTGAGAATGTCTGTGCAACTTGTTAAAATTTGGCTAAGCAATCTTTCTCTCTTATTAAGATTTAGAATATCTCCACAATGTAATCAGTGTTGGGCCCAAAAAGTAAAAGCATACAACGAAAGTAAAATATTCCAGAAGAAGTGTACACAAATTATAAAAGCAAATAATATATTTTACTACAGTCATCTGAACTGACCCAGTCAAGCTGTTAACTCCCAGCTGCTTTGAATTTTCAATTAAAATCCTATTTTCCCAACTTCCTGTCTTAGAGAGAGGCCCAACAGGGAATAACATCACAGTGACTTTCAAGTTTGCAGTTTGGTTTAGTTTAAGGGATAATGTTAGGTATCTCATTTAACTTTTCTTTATATAGAGATTGTATCTGCTGATACACAATAAGCTCAGGCTTGAACACACAAAATTGCTTAATAGGAGATAAACTTAGAGCTGGTGGTGGTGGCCCACACCTTTAATCCCAGTGCTAGGAGGCAGAGGCAGGGGGATCTGTGAGTTCAAAGCCAGCCTGGTCTACAGTGTGAGTTCCAGGACAGCCAGAGCTACACATAGAAACTCTGGGTGGGTGTTGATAAACAGCACCCAGGAACTTTTTAGGGCCTTCAATTTTTCAAACTTCCAATGCTGTAAAAATTGTGCATTTGAACATAGATTTCTGTGGAACAAAGAGAGGTTGGAAAGGGGTGAATATAAAATACGTTTTTTAACCACCATGAGGAATTCTGCACGAATCCTATGTCTACACATATAATGACTACTTGGAAGAAAACAGTAGATTGAAAAAGCTGTATGTGCTTTCCTCTGAGATCTCAGACTTGAATAAGCACAGTCCCAGAGAACTGCAGGCCCCACAGCCCAAATGCACTGCTACTACAGGACACACACTCAGGACACTGCATTTCTTAATCCAGTCTCAATGCCAGGGTATGTCATAATCCCTGCAACTGTCTGGCTTTGAAATTTTAGCGTGTTTTCATTGCAACTAATTTACTTACAGTGATCCTGTCATGAAGTGCTGTGAATCCAAGCAAGGTTCCCAGGTACGAGAGGAATAGATATGCCCTATTACAAACGGCCCCGGGAATGAAAGGATAAGGGATTCAGAAAGCAATTGTTGTATATCCCCCATCTGCTTTCTCTACTTGATCAATGTAGATGCATAGGATGAATATCACCAAAATTAAGTGCTAAGTATTCACATTATCTTCCTCACAAAGAAAAACCCCTCTAAAACATACTAAGTCCATTTACAGAAAACACAGGGAAATTATAAGGAACCTTCCAAACATACAACCCTAAAAAGACTAATTATACTTAAAAAAGAAAAACTACTGCCACTAATCATTTACAATGGAATAAGTATTTTTACTTAAAATTACTTTCCTGCTCCAAAAATGACATTTCAATTAAGTTATACTGTCCTAGGAAGCTATAGTCAGAATATAGTAAACACATGAAAACCAAAACTGCCCTAAAAAAAAGACAAAACAACTAAGTATTTATTTAAAAACCAGTAAGTGTTCTTAGTGAAATTAGCCACTCAGGTACAATTTCACTGAGTGTGTCCTCGGGAAGTTACACTGTAATCGTCTGGGCAGACACAGACCCCTCATGTAAAGGATAATTAGGGGCTAGAGAGGTGGCTCAGTGGTTAGAGAATGTTGTTCCTGGAGAGGACCTGGGTTCAATCCTTAGCACCCGCATGGTGGCTCACAACCATCTATGACTCCAGTTCCAGGGACATGATGCCTTCTTATGACCTCCCTGGGCACCAGGCATGCATGTGGCGTATAGATAATACATGTGAACAAAACATTCATAACAACAAGTAAGTATTTCTTTTTGAAAAAATTTTAAATGATGTTTACAAATATCTGAGACAAAAGTCATCCAAGTAAATACTTTCTAACTGTCAAAGTGTCCTTTAAACAACAGCAAGAGAGCTGGCCCCTACACTTTGGAGAGATGGCCCCTACCCCTCACCACAGGCCAGGGTGAACTGACCCTGAAGCATATAGGGGAGCTGACTCCAGCCCCTCACCCGAGGTGGGTGGCCCAATGGTCCCAGGGACCCTGACTCACCAGCTTAGCTACTATCCAGGCCCACTGCCAGACCTTGGGTTGGCCCACGCTAGCATCTACCCCATCTAGGACCTGCTGGAGCTGGTGAAGGGCCTGGTCCTGTGGAGCAATCCTAGAGGAAGGAGTTCTGGTGGGGATCCAGTGACGGTGGTGTACCAGAAACCAGAGGCCTTGAACCAGGCGTGCCCCATTCCAATAGACACTTGCAGTAAAAGCGATGGGGCCAAGGGGTATACTATACGGCACACCGAAGCCTCCAGTGCCGCCAGGACTAATGAAGTGGTGTTGGGGAAGCAGGAAAGAAGAAGCAAAGAGATTTTTGTTGTTGGGGTTTTTGTTTTGTTTGTGTTTGCTTGATTACTTTGATTTGTTTCCTTATATGGGAGGCATGGCGGGGTTGAGGGGAGGATATGGGGGCACCAGGAGGTGAACAGAATTGGGGTACATGATGTGAAACTACCAAAGAGTCAATAATGAAGTTTAAAGAACAAAAAAGTGCCCTTTAAGCATTTTAATTAATTCTTACGACCCTGTCCTTCAAGCCATATGAGGAAGAGGCCTGACAATAAGTCTCCTGAATAGCCCTGCCCTTTCAGCTCTGCTAATGAGGTTCATAAGAAGCAATGGGTGACAACCCTAAGTCCTCCACAGCTGAAACAAGCCCAAGGCTGAGGTACACCATCACCCCAGTGTTAGGAAAAGGACTGCCTATCCACAGAGTGGAGGGTTGAGACAGCAATCAGTATAGCTAATACCACTTGCCCAAGCAGAAATAAAAGCAAAATGGAGCAGAGCACACGGGCCTCCAGGCGGAACTGTGGAGCTGTCGATTATGCATGTCTTTCTTCTAGACTAAGGTCCTTCAACAGTACCAAGAACCAGACCAAACCAAACTGGATTCACTCACTCATGCTCAGTGCCACACAGCCAAACTGTAATTAAAAGGGGAAAAGATCTCCACACAAAAATTTGCCCTGAATATAGGACTTTGCAGTCTACCTGTGCCCTACCAGTAAGGACCCTCCTGCTGCTGAGCACAGAAAACAGGAACCCGCCTTAGGCAGATATGAGCCAGGCAGCTCTGGCTCTTCTGTTTCCTTGTTCCTACCTTACAAAGTCGGCTTTTCTGCAGAGTGAGAGTTGCCCCCCACTCACAAATCCCAAATAAAAGCCAGGCAGATCCCTGGCTGTATGTTGTGTGGTTCGTACTTCCAGCAGATCGAAAAGGTTCCTCACTAGGAAGAATTAGACAAAGGCAGAAGAGTCATTTGCATCTCGGCCTTCTGTTTCTTTTTATCCCATTACTCTTCTTCAGATCCCTTCCCTCTCTCCCCATTCATTCTCTTAAAAAGCTCCCCCACCCCCTCCCAAGGCTCCCTAGGCCAATCCCCCACTGCTACGACTTCACCCTTGTTCCCCATTGGCTAGAAAGACACAGAGGCTTCCAACCTGCTGACAGTGACAGATGGCTGTGCAGAGGCCCACAATGGAGGACCCCCAACGTCATCTCCTTGCAGCTGACCTTCCAAAGAAAAACCCAAAGCTGGGGTCTGACCTGGAGGAGACCGATTTAATTAATACAGCAAAAGGCAGGGCTGCCCGCGGCCTGCATTGGCTGGCTGCATCCTCTGCAGACTGCCAGGGACAACCCTTTAAAATGTTGCTCAAGAAGCATCGGGCAGGAAGTTATGTCAGTAGAACTATAAGGTAGGGGAAAGGCTAAAAGAAGAGGTGTGCTTGACTAGTAAGCACAGATACGCCAAAAGGTCATGATCTCATAACACCAAACATTGAAACTCTATGACTCACAGAATAAAGACTATGTTCTGACCTGTTTTTCAAACCAAGGACAATTATCAAAGATACCCAAACTGAAACAATCCAGGCTACTCAATCACGGGACCAGAACCCAAGTACACTACCACCCTTCCCCCTAAAATGAAGTGTTCTAATCAGAAAACACAAGAACAAATTTCAGTTTGTTTGTGCTTGGTTTTTGAGACAGGGTTTCTCTATGTAGCTTGGCTGTCCTTGAACTCAGGTGGCCTGAGTTCCACTCAAAGATCCACCTGCCTCTCTCCTGGGATTAAAGGTATGCACCATCATCTCTTGACACATGGGTTCTGCTTCACAATGGACATGGTGGTTACAACATACACACTCACATGCACACACGTTTGTGCATCATGCACACATGCATGACCACGCATAGCTGGCACTCCAATCAAGAAGCTCCAAGTCTAGTTCTAAGCTAAGGGTGGTGGGGAGATAATGGGAGTCAACATGTAACAGCAGTACATGGTGGGGCAAAGAAACTAGCTTGGAGGATCTGAATTTATGTGATCTCATTCAGTTTCCATGAATGCAACCCTCTTTACGTTTCCTAAAAACCCCATCAAACAGGCTCACCCGGGACCACTCCAACCAATTCCCTTACCTTGTGAGGGTGCACTAACAGCTCTGATACTGATTGACAGTGCACCACCAACAACAACCAAGGTGATTGAGGAAACAGAAGTCTCTTGTAGTCTTTGGATCCTGAAGGCATGATGTCAACTGCAAGTAAATTCTAAACCAGACTGCAAGGCATACTCCATCTTCTCCCCGAGCATGTGAAACCTCAGCCAAGCATAGAGGCCATATTATATCTTGTCAGCAATTGCCCTGATGTTCAGCAAGACGTCAGGCCTGGTACTCTGGAGTTGCTCCTCCCATGAGTAAGATAGTGGCTGGAGTTTGTACAGCTAAACACAGGATGAAAACCTGGGAAGCATGACCAGCTCAAGTGCTCCAGACTCAACAATAGCAACAAAAACGAAAAGGACTAGAAGGTTCCAGGTCAAGATAAGACAATATAGGCGGCTAGGAAAAGCTTGCTACTGGCTGACCCTTGTGAAAATGACTGTAGGTCAGGCCATGTCTACATTTGGCCTTCTGAGCTAGACCTTCGCATACATCCCATTTCCTTTCAAGTGCTAGCTCCTCACCACGAACAGCATTTATTTATGTTTGATTATGCCATACGGTGGCTGGGGAGTAGTTATCAATGCAGTCCCACTGAGCAATTAGAGCCACATCTTTAACTTCATGAGTACAATCTTTTAAGCTTCATATTGGGCCTTCATAGTCAGTCAACAAAGTTGATTTTATAGTAGTGCTACTAACTCAAACTAATCATTCTTTAGAAAAGAGTACTGGAACCAACAGCCAAAATCACTCTAACACTGAAGGCTTCCAGTCTCTACAATGAAAGCCAATAACTAAGAAAAAGCTTCCAAATAAACAACTGGTTAACTCAAGAGACTTGGTATCCAGATCTGACCAAGAAGTCACCTAGTTTGTGGTGCAGTAGGTTGTATGTTTTAAGATATTTCATCAAGGGGCTGGAGGGATGGTTCAGCAGTTAAGATTAGTGCCTACTCTTGCAGAGGACTAGAGTTCAATTCCCAGCACCTACATTGTTGGGAGATTTCATTCTGTAAATATGTGTCTGACTGGTTTAAATAAAACACTGTTGGCCAATAGGGAAACAAGATAGGTGGGACTAGGAGTCTAGGAGGATTCTGGGAATTGTAGTGAGGAGAGCTCTCACCATGTGATCTCCCGGGAGCAACGGGTGCTCAGGAGTGTGTCCTCAAAAAGATAAGTTCTTATAAAACATATATTAGTAATTATGGGTTAATAATCAAATCAGAGCTAGCCTATAAGAAACCAAGCAAATGGCCAACAGCTTCATAATTATTATTGTGTCCTGTGTGTTATTTGGGAGGTTGTATAACAAGTATAAGGCCAGCTGGAGCTACTTGAGTCAATACCTCAAGCAAAAACAACACAAGTTCTTAATAAATACAACTTTCCTGTTGCCTACTATCCAAACTAAGAAGCCACCCTGGTGCACCTCGTGTAAAAAGGTCACCATTTCCCACTTCGTAAAGAGAATGTCTAGCTACAAATCTGTGTACAGAGGGAATCTACTAATAATTTCAAAACAGATTTGTCTCATAGATCAAAGCACTCATTTGTAAGGAGACAGTAATTACAGTTTCCGGGTCTGTTTCACTTTTTTAAAAGACAGTTTACAGCAGAGTGGTGGTAGCCCATGCCTTTAATCCCAGCACTTGGGAGGCAGAGGCAGGAAGATCTTTGTGATTTCCAGGCCTGCCTGGTCTACAGAGTGAGTTCCAGGACAGCCAGGACTACACAAAGAAACCCTGTCTCAAAAAACTAAAAAAAAAAAAAAAAAAAAAGACATTTTACTAAACACCTTATGATTCTATCTGATGCCATGTGCCTTGCCTAATCTAAAAAATGCAATAAAATATTTGATGAACATAGGTCCTGACAACCAGCATTAAAGGTTTCTCAAAATGAGCAAAGAGAAAAGAAAAAAAAAAAACCACACACACACTACCCCTAGCATGCTTTTACCCTGATTCACAAAAATGTCTGAATGTTTCCAGGAACTTGCTTCTTAGGAAAAAAAAAAGCACACTTCTACAATATTGCAAATTTGCATCCTGTTTACAAAAAAATGCAAGTAAGCTAACATTTTTACATGGAGTTCCTTATTTGACAAAAATTTATCACAATACCACCCTACGACATGCACCATATCATGGATAAATAAATATGGGAGATGAAAAGACATGTGTCTACCTTTTAAACTTAGGTACAATGACTTTCTAAGCCCAAGTAAAACCTATTTAAACACTAAATAACTAGCTGCCAACAAAAGCAAAATGGAATAAAAGAGTAAATAGGGAAGGTGGGGACAATTACCATCTGGAAATAAGAACAAAGGGGTTCTTGTCCCTGCTCAGCCATCAGTTCACTACATGACCTTACCTAATTAGTGAGCCTCTCGGGTCTCCATTTCCTTTATCATTATTTGTAGGATCCCCTGCAACCACAGGCCAGCATTCAGCATGTACAACAGTATCCAATACCCTGACTCACATTTAACTGTATAGTTTTAAATATCTGAGTTTGAATTTCCATCCAAAGCAATTTACAAAGTGTCAGTTGACCTTGTGTCCATTTCAAGTAGAGAACTAAAGCAAGTACCACTTACAGTTTCACGTTTCACCCCGACAACAGCTGCTGTTACGAGAGCATTTAACAGTCTCCTTGAAATTTATACCTCTTTACAAATGGAGAAAATAAAAGTGATTTTCACAGTCTCAAACATGCAGCTGCCCCACCCCCACCCTATTCCTATGGTGACCTTGTTGGAACAGCTGGCTTGGGAGACAAACTCAGACAAAGTCCTCTTGAGTGATGTCCTGGACCAGACAGCCCATCCCTCTCATCAGTGTTCACAAGCCAAGCCAGCAAAAAGCTTTCCTGTGAGTGACAAGGGAGGTACATCACAGAGTAGCAGCCAGGCAACCGTCCCAAACACCTGCTTCCATTCTTAAGAGCCAATAAATAAGAACCTATGGCTGAGGCCAGTTTGATTAAGCTATAATTTATATTTACTTACAGCTTGTTTAAAACTACGGTTTAAAACTTTGGATTGGCAGTGTTGCATATCAATTGTAAACTTAATTGACTCCAGCATATATATTCAATAAGCATTTTAAAATGTATCTCACAAGTGAAGAAATTTAGTGTTAATGACTGCCAGACCTTCTTTTGAAACCCAGCCTGACTTCCCACCTTCAATGTTCCTGGGTGTAGTAGCAGGCCAGTAACCCGGACAGTCATGATGGCTGTAACAATAAAAGGCCAGCCTGTCTCAAAAGAAATAAAACAGTAAAAAACGGCCCTTCTTATGCCAATTGTCAGTCTCTACTGTGTTATGTGATTTCAACAGATAGTTTCAGAAACCATTTTTACTGCCCAGCGTCCACCAGGCATTTCCTTTGTCCCCCTGACTCATAGGTACAGTGGGTCTCCATTCACACACTGATAAGATCTCAGTGTTCTTGCTTTGCTTGGGTCCCCAGCTACACTCACTTCCTCAGCTGCAGCCTTACTCATCTTTGTCAATGGAAAACACGCAGCGATCTCCTGCCCTCTAGCTTCCCCATCTGCAGCCAGTCACTCCTGCACTTCCCTCTCCCACTAACAGAAAGTGCCACAGAGCACGCTCAGAGTCCTTCCAGATTGTCAGGCACATGATGGGTGATTTATGAGTATTCAGTTAAAGGATCCACGGCAGACGGATAGATGGGTGCATTACTAATAAGTATTTCGGTGCGCTTTATAATGTTTAAACATCTATAAATGTGGGTCTGGAACTATAAATTCAACACAACTACTACATGGTATCCTTTCAGTTTCATAATGGCCCACAAACCCACTTTACTTTGCCCATTTTCTTGGTAGCTGTGAGGACGGGTGTGGCTATGCCTCCTAAAGCGTAACTGGGGTGTCACCACTTTCAGCTTTCATTCGATTCTAACGCTGCAGGAAATCCACTAGTCACAGGCTAGATGGAGAAAAGAGACCTTCCTTAAACAATAAGCCATGGATCCACTTTGCACAGAACGTCATGGGAGTCCAACAAAGAATTTCCGCCCTAATGTCTTATACGCGCACAAATGCACCCAGATATACACACTCACCACACTTCTCTGCTCACTCTCATCCACAGGCGGACAGAGAACAGGAGATGGATCAGAGTTCACTTCTAACCTTAATTTTCTGTCCTGTAAGGACAAAAATCAGATAAACAGTATGAGACAAGCTGAATTTAAAGTCAGAAGACAAATTTCCAGCCCCAATCCACAGCTTCCTTTGAATCTACAGCACATAGACGTAACTAAGGTTTAGTTATTTCAAAGACAGGAGAAAGCACCATGGCAAACTGGCCTCTATTTACCAAGTGAACTGCATGATGGGTGAATAGTCTGCTTTTCCCAGAAATGCAAACTCAAAAGAACTCTTCGATCAATAATAGAGGACACACCAAAGTAGGACTCCCAGACCAGTGCTGAAGTTCAAGCTTCCTTAATCTTTAGGAATATATATAATTTGTGTTTAGCGGCCATTTCCAACAGATGTGCATGGTTGCAGTGGGAATTCAGGACTCCCTCAGTTCGGATGGAACTTCTCTCCTGCCTTTTCTCCCTCTAAATTCTCTTTTTCCAAGAGCTCTCAGGACATCTGCACACCTTCAACATGTGCGACTGTGCAGCATCGCACTACATCACCGGCACAAGGGAGTCCAAGACAGTGAGTGGAGTCGAAAGGAGTTCCTAAAATACTAGGCACTCTATCTTTAACCCCAGCTGCTGATGAAAGGAGACATATATCAAAGTCTGTTTTCCTAACCTTAAGCGGAGGACTTAAGTGAGGTGTTTCCGCTCCAGAGAGTGGGCGGGTGACAAATATCAACCCTCAGTAGTGGGTATGCAGGCAAGTCAGGACCTTGGTTTTATTGCTGGAAGGTAATAAGTAGTATTAAGTGCAGCCCCTCAGGGCACTCACAGAGAGAACCCCATTTTTTGGCAAGACGAGCGGGGAAAAGTTGGGACTGGGGTCCTGTGCTAAAACTGGTCCCCACTTTCAAAGATGCCCAGATTTTAAAGCCTCGCCTTACCACAAGGATCAGGGTCACTCTAACCCAGGGGAACAGGAGACAAAGATCCCCCACAAACTACACAAGCGCGCGCTCGCGGACGCCAAGGCTCCACAATGCACATTCCTCCAATCTTTCACTGCAGTCCGCATCCCCCACGCAGCCTTTCGAGAAAGTTTAGGGCTGTTCACACCGACCTTAAAAGGTCCATTGTTACCCTCTCCCGGAACGCAAAGTGGGCGAAAAAGAGATCAAGCCCCGATTCTCAAGGACCCCTTTTCGTGGAAGAAGGTTGAGCCACGGGGCGCACGGAGAACCCCGCGGGGGAGGCGCCGTCGAAGGCGGACGCTGGGAACCACTGGATGTTGTGTTTCTCTGCAAAAAACGCCAGCAGCAGGGACGGCCAGGCCTTCAGGACGCCCAGGTGCGCGGGTCGGGTCCGCGCCCTCCCGGCCCCCGGGGACCGCCAAGGAGGCGGGGCTGGGGACCCGCGACCGGCGGAGCCTTACCTTCCCTTCCCCCTCCAGGCGTCGGTCTACTCAGGTGTCTACGCGGTAGCCCGAGGAGCGGGAGAGGAGATCCCGGAGTCCCTGCATGCGGATCTCCCCTCCATGTCCAGGAACCCGGGACCCGCCGCCTCTTTGAAGCCAGCGGCAGTGGCAGCCCAGCCTCCGCCGGAGGAGAAACAGCCGCGACCGGGGAGTAACGCTCCTCCCTCCGCCTCCGCGGCCACCTCCTCCAGCCAGCCCGGCTTGGCGCTCTTGGATCCTTCCCTCCCGGAGGAAGAGGAGGGGAATCGCCGTCCAGGCGGCGCGATCCCGTGCGGCCCTGAGACAATAGCGACAGGGCGCGTTCCCGAGCCGCGCAGGTCCCCGGGCGCTCTCGCTAGGGTCCCCCTCGGCCACCACCGGTCACACAAGCGCCGGCTCCGCTGGGCCGAAAGTGCTGCGGATTGGGCAGGCGGCCGGGACCTAGGGAGGCGGGCGCAGAGGCGGGGCCTGTGGGCGGGGCTTGTTGTCGGAGGGGCGGAGGCTCCTCCCATCTCCTGCATGAGACGAAGGTTCAGCGCCTCCCGCTGACTCCAGAGGGAAGGGCTCACACTGGCACTGCCCGCGGCCGGGGCTACCAAGCGTGCCCTGGGCTTTGCTGCAGACGACTACCTGGGCGTTCGCGGGAACCGGCTGGGCTGAACCTGAGTCTGCGATCCTCAGAAACCTTAGCTGAGCCTGAATCTGTTCCCCCTGTGACCCCACCACCTGCAGAAAGCTGACCACGCTACTGGGTCAGCTTCTGGGTTAAGCCGGATCCTCTGCCCTCATCACCCCTAACAGAGTCTAATACTGCTGCCCTGTCACCTCTTGACCGGGCCAATGTAAGCCTACAGTCCATATCACTCGAAACTGAGCCTGCATTTTATCTGGCCTGGCCAAGCTGCTGAACCCCCATTACCACCACCACCTATGCCCCAGGGTTGATTTCTGTTCTCTTCCCTCATCACCTAACAGCTGAGATAGACATCATCATCTTTGATCGCTCCTCTAATGAAGCTGACTCGGCACCGCATTATCCCCCAATAATTTCCCGCAAGCTCCCACACAACCCACAAACTTTCTAAGCCTCAGGTCTCGGCGTCTGCACTGCCCCCACCTGGCCAGCACGGGATCTGGGTTCTCAGCCCTCCCCACTGAGGCAGCGTGCTCTTGACTTCAGACTGTTGCGTTGGGAGATTGGAGCAGCCCCAGCATCTTGCTCAAGGGGCCAGAATAAATATCCCTAGGTCTGGCCACGCCTTCTACCCACGATATTCTAGAGTGGCTGAAGCTTGCAGCGGGCGGGATGAAACTCTGAAGACCACTCCTCAGCCCATCCTACACCAAAATACACTGGCGGGTGGCTTAAGTAGCCCTGCTACCACCTGGTGCCCTCGCGGAAGTTGCTCTTGCAGAGGAAAAGCTTCGCCTACAGCATAGGGCGCGACCTGGCTTGATCCGTTAGACCTACGAGGTCTGGAGCTAATGACAGCTGCAAGACTGCCAAATCGGGACAGTCATCATCTTCTATTTATTTCAGAGTTGGAAGTGTTCCCCCTGGGGAACTGTTTCAACAAATACTGTACAGACGGGATTGTTCATTTTTCAGTCTTGCTTTTTTTGCTTTCACCACCCTTCCAGTAAATCTCCACCATGCAACCATGACACACCAGCAGGCAGGAAGGGGAATACCCTATTTCCAACGTTTGGTTCAGGATTTCATAGAACTGAATCAGTGTTTTCAGACTGGGGCCGACAAGAATCTCCTGAGATCCTGAAAAACTTGGATTCCCCCAACAAAACTCTATTCACTGAGTCAGCAGTGTCTGCAACATGCAATTTCGGAACCACTTCTAGAACGTATGCACAATTAACTAAAAACCTTGGAAAGATGCACCCAAGGAGCCACTCCACCTACTTCTGAGATGTCACAGATGCCTTACACATCCGTCATCTCCAGCCCCAGCCCCCTTTTTTGGGAGAGAAAAAGGACGACTTAAAACAACAGCACAGATTGTTTTCTGTGACAAACTTTAAAGGAAGAAGGACACTTTCAGTGGCTTCCAACTGAGATGTTTAGATCTTGAGACCACCCCCACGCCCGGAAGGAGGAGGGAGTTCTGAGATAGGACTCAGTGGTTAAGAGCACTTTCATCTGTTCCAGAGGACCCAGGTTAGATTCCTACAAGCCAGCTCACAACCGTCTCTAACTCCAGTTCCAGGGGATCCAATGTCCTCTTCTGACCTTAATGGCACATGCAGGCCAAATGCACATAATATAAAAATAATTCTTAAAGAAGAGGAGGGGCAGACCTCTGTCGTCTCTCTCTGTCTCTGTCTCTCTGTCTCTCTGTCTCTCTGTCTCTCTGTCTCTCTCTGTCTCTCTGTCTCTCTCTCTCTCTCACACACACACACACACACACACACACACACACACACACACACGGCCCTATATATCAAGATTCTAATCCTGCTGCCTTTTGGATGTGGAAATGGCATCTTTGCACATGTGATTAGGTTAAGTTACCAAGGTGAGCCCTAACTGCAATCACACTCAAGAGAGGAAGGCGGGGAGAAATTTAGAATGCAATGGTGTGGAAGGTGTGTGACCAGGGAGACAGTGACAGAAGTGACACAACCCAGGAGTCAGGGAGGAAAGCAGCCACCAGAAGCAGGAAAAGTCCATGAAGAATTCTCCCTAGAAGCTGACTACACTAGCGAAACTGAGTTCAAATGGCAGACCTCTAGAAACACAGGAGTCAATTTGTTGTTCTGATTTATTAACAAATTGATAATGTGTTTCTGAGGTACCCTGCATCCTGATTTGTGCCAAATTTGTTCAAAATGTCTCTCTTCTGGATCTTTATTGAGCACCAGGCACTTTGCTTGGAGTTCAGCTATGTTATATAAATCCTCCCAAAAGTCATTAAGCCAATTTTGGAGATGTAACACCGAACCTGGAATGTTTAAACAGCTTTTCCAAGAGTGTATTAGAATTAAATGGGCCGATTACTCCGTAGCTAAAAATAATCATCACAAATTCATGATTAGATGTCTTGATGTAAAGAGCTCTTCCATTATCTGTATTCATCGCCAAACCAAGGGACACGGATGCCGAGAGTCAGGGAGACAAACTGTGTCTTCTGCTCAGTTTTCTTGTGAAACTAAAACTGAACTTCAAAACTAGAGTCTGTTAACAGGGAGTGGTTGGATGTTTTTTCATAGACTACTTTTGAAACATTTATAAACTTTATTTTAGATGTTCATGTGAAACATGAAAAATAAAAAAATGAAAAACAGACAGGAAAGGAGGGGCAAAGGAGACAGCGTCAGTGAAACTGACAGTGACTGCCAGGGACTCAGGCTCTGAGGCAGAGTGGCAGGATGTCCTTTAGGCCTGTCCACCAGGTGGTACCTGGAAGCAGAAGGGCCCAGAAGCAGGAGAGAGAGGAGAAGTTGTGTGGCAGCGTGCTCTCGATGCCCGCCACCAACCCCACTGGAGGATTCAGGCTGGCATGGCCCAGCAGAATGACTAAATGGTGAGGTGTTTGGATACTCTGGAGCAGCTATTGGATGTGGTCCATCCTGGGAATATCACCCACTTACATGGTATTTGTTGTCCTTACCACTACTGTCAATGCATCGAGGAGAAAGGGGTGCTCAGAGCATGCCCCCCATTCACACTCTGGTCATGACTATGTCTTCACCGTTCAGGCAGCATAACACCTTGTCTGAGAATTAAGATCCTTTAGTCGGATGGCCTGGGTTAGAAGCCAAGTCCACAGCTCACTACTATAACTGCGATCAAGATGCCCAACCTCTCTGGGTTGCGTGTTTGCACTTTAAAAGAGGAAGAGTAATGGTAACTAGCTGGCAGCGTCATTGTGAGATTCGATACAGAAGTGCTATAGCAGTTTCCCTGTGCAATTCATAAGTTCCCATCAATTTCTGCTGCTGGTGTCTCTGATCTTCTTTAGCTCCCAGTGATTAAGCTAAACTGGAATTTTAAATCATATTACCTTCACAGTGACTTTTTAGGGAGGCACAGGAAACTGGCTGCTCTTGGAGCCCAGGCCATACCTGAAGGCAATGGATAAATAAAAGCCACTAACCCCTGCTGCCTGCCAGGTGGATGAAAATGGGGGTGCCCTTGGGAAGCTGAGGGACCTCGTGCTGAGACAGGGAGCAAATTAGGGTCCCTGTGTTCAGCATGTCTGTCACCACCCCCACTTTTTTGTGACAGAGCATCCCTTGACTCTCATCCCCTCTTCCTTAGGCAGTTTTCCTCCAGCCCGTTAGAACTTTGTTCCTTCACAGTTTCACCCTGAGAAGGTCAGATGGTCATTTTAGAGTTGTGTGGACCTGGTCATACTTGTTCCTGTTAGGGCCAGTGAGTGCATGGGTGTGGAAATGATTCATGAGAAAGGTGTTGATAGGCCATTTCCTTAATTAAGTTTTAGAAGCAGCCCTGTCCCCATCCTCTGGGTGCAATAACATTACGGAATGTCAGTGTGACCTTTCTCCACCGCAGCCCAACTGTGTGTCTACAGACCGTCTTTTCTTTACTTATTTCCCTATGTCCAGCCAACTACATTCTCACTTTATTGAGCCTAAGGAGGGCTGTGTGCTTGCTGTTGAGCGTGCTGCCCATTTGGCTTAACTTATGATGTAATCAGTGCTGGTGTAATTAAAACTCTGACACAGTCTTTTCACAAAAAGGAAAAACATATATGTACTCTATTTCAAGCCTCTACATCCTATTTGATTGATATGAATTAAATCTCTGTTATTATTCAAAAATCCCAAGATCTTCTACTCTGAGGAAAAGGTAACCTCATACAACACCTAAAAAAAGTCACACAAAATATTTTGTTGTGCTGGTGTCATTGTGTGTATTGCATGCTGTATGAACTGTATCTGGGTGTATGCACACATGCACACATGAAGTCCAGAAGTAGATGCTGAGTGGCTCTGTCACTCTTCTTCACTTTGTATTTTTTACACAGGGTCTTTACTGGATTTGGAGCTCACTGATTGGCTAGATTGGCTGTGCAGCAAGGCCCTGGGATCCCCATATCTCTGCCTCCCAGCACTGCTGTTACAGCTCACAACCACTCGGGCCATGTACTAGAGTGCTTGGGATCTGAAGTCAAGTCCCCAAACTGTGCAACAAGCACCTGACCACACCATGAAGCAGCTCTCCAACCCCTATAAATCTTTTTAAGTGGTATGGTTTTCTCTTTTTTCTAGCATTTTTCTTTCATGACTTACACGGCCACTTTTACATATGTGGTGTTCTTTGCTTCTGGCACCCAGATCTAAGAATTCGAAAAGGGCATCTCTTGCTGATTCTCACTTAACAGTTGAGGACTGCCCTTGAAAATGGTTATGAGTTGTTTCTAGTCACTCAACCTGAATGAAGTTGC